GCGACCAAATATAAAAGGTAATCAAAGATCTACCACAGTAACATGCTGACATCTTTGGGAAAAATATCCAAAGAATGTGTGAAAAACATCTGAAAGAATTACCCAGAAATATAATTAAAATGGACCGAAAATATGTTGAAGATGTCATTTAATATTGTGAACTATGTCAACAACAATATATACAACATATGATGATCTTACAGGATATGATGCGTTGCTGCAGATTAAATTACTCAACCGTTTATAAAGGAGGTAAGAACATCTACAGCAGTAAAATGCTGAACAATATTGGAACAATATCCAAATAATATGTCAATAAAGTCTGAAAAATTCCCTAAAAATGTCTGAAACATTTCTAAAACTGTTTGGAAAATGTCAGAAGAAATGTCCTATAAATATGTCTGAAAAAATGACTCAAAATGTTTCGGAAAAATACATGTTAAAGGTGGGGTAGGTAATTTATTTCAGAAACACTTGTTATATTCCATGGAATGCTCTTAACATCCCGATAGCAATGAATATCTTAAATGCTTTGACAATAAATACGTAAAACAATGTCATCTGTGGAAGCTGTAGCGCTGTAAAAAGCACGACCAATCATCTGAGCCGGCCCGGCTAAAGTAACTGGATGGCCTACCTGCCTGTCAGCCTTCCATCTGTGCACAAACCTATCTCGTGCCCTCATTGGTCATGTGCGCGTTCCTGTGTGTTGGAGGAGGGGCTCTGTAAGGAAGTGTATTTTCAAATTCTAGCGCACTCGAGCTGGTTTCTCCAAAATTACCTACCCCACCTTTGAATGTCTGAAAAAAGGACTGAAAAGTAGTGATGGCGAGATGAAGCCTTATGAAGCTTTGAAGCTTTCCAGCCAATTGGTTCGCAAAAGGGTTCATCTCATGAGGCTTCATCATGGGCTTCATTTGAACACAAACCCCCTGTTGGTCAAAGTGTGTAAAACAGGCAGATTGGACATCTCAACAGTGTGCTCCATCTCATACCGAGTTCCCATTGAGTAAACCCTTAGAATAACTCTAAACAACGAACATTAAATCATATCTTCATGTCAACAATATTGTTTTTATTCCAGTTGAATGATTGTGATTGAAAAGCCTAAGGAGGCTGGTAAACATTGCAAAGAGGGATTTGCATTCCTTCGTAAACGTAACCATGTTGTAGCCTGAGAAAGGCTAAACCATATCAAAGAATACATTTGTTAACTACATTATCTCATTTAGCTGTAGCTTTTATAAACAACAACAAATACGTAGGCCTATTGACCAGTTGTTGAACCAGGGACCCTGCGGTCGTGAGTCAACTGCTTTCCAGCTGAGCCCCATACTGAATCTCCCTGAAAACACTGCACGATATGTATTCATTTATTTATTCATGTTTTCATTCCTACATTTATTTATGCTTGTATCTATTTATACTTATGAGTCATGACATGTTATAAGTGAGGGTCTGAGCTCTCTTAATTCCATCGTGTCACCGGGCCCGGGTACAGGAGGGGTAATATGGTTCTTCTTATTATACATCCATGGGTATGAGCGTTGTGGTTCAACGGTTCAACCGATCTGATTCGCTTCGTGAAGCAGTCACGTGGTATCAACAGGCAGCGAGGCTTCGTTTGTCATCGGTGACGTCACTGGCCCAAAACGATACAAGCCTCGATACATGCTTCACAAAAAGCTTCGGGGATTACTCGACACACGCTCCGAAGCCTCGGCGCAATCCGTAACATCACTAGTGAAAATATGTTAAAGGTGACATGTCATGCTTTTCCGGTTAGTACCCGTCCCCTTGTGTGTTATGAAGGTTTTTATGAATGTAAACGGTCTGCAGAGTCAAAACCCTCAAAGTACACCCTGTAGCGAGTAAAACTCTAACACAGAAAATACCTCCCCAAAACGCCTCGTTGGAGATACGTCACTGTCCATTTGATTCTTCCGGGTACATCATGATGTCATGTCGTCCCCGGAACGAAATGGACCAATCCGTGGAGCCGTTACGTTACGTCCGCGGAGCCGTTACGTTAAGCCCCCACTGATTGGTCCAAATTGACCAATCCACAGACTTCCTCACACACACACTCAGTGCAGGCAGCTCTGCTGATCTCTCCTCCCTGGCTGCAGGCTAATAACAGACAGTTGGGATCGCGGCGAAATTCTCTCTGCAGACCCATTCTCTCTGCAGACCCATTCTCTCTGCAGACCCATTCTCTCTGCAGACCCATTCTCACAGCGTTTATCAACCTTTTTCTTACTCAATATCAAGCCACACTTATTGTTTTTACTTCGGCTGTGACTTTGTGTGCTCAGGACGAGTTTGGCTGTGTTTCGATGTGTATCGCTAAACAAGGAAATCACACCTCCACGGAGCTCAGCGCGATTCACAACGTCCCGACTGGTCCCGACCAATCGGAGCACACTGGGCTCACAGGGAGGGGGGGGCAAGAGCTGCAACGAGCCGTTTAGTGGAGAGAGTGAATACACGTACTTTACAGAGATGCTGTATGCGAAACAATGTGAGTTTGGAAAATTGCACAGTATAAATCTATTCTAGTAGACCTCAACAATGGAATTATGATCAGTGGAAATGGCCATGACATGGGACCTTTAAAAATGTCTTGTAAAAATGACCGAAAACATATGATGGTCTTCTAGAAGGTGATGCATTGCTGCGGATTAAACTATTCAACAGTTTATAAAGGAGGTAAGAACATCTACAGCAGTATTTTGCAGTGGGGTATTAGTACTTTAACTGCAGATAAGGATCATAATACTTCCATTACCACTGAGAACAATGTTGTGTATCTACCAGAGGTGTGGACTCGAGTCACATGACTTGGACTCGAGTCAGACTCGAGTCACCAATTTGATGACTTGAGACTCGACTTGACAAAATCACAAAACACTTGCGACTCGACTTGGACTTGAACACCAATGACTCGGGACTTGACTTGGACTTGAGCCTTCTGACTTGAGGTGACTTGATCATTTAATTCAGAGGTCTCCAACACGCCGATCGCGAGCTGCCGCTAGAAGAGCAGAATCTTCAGCTGCTCCTACTCTTGCTGAGAATCCTTGCAGGCAGGGGCGGGACTTTATTTAGCTGGGCCACCATGCGCCCAATCATATGCGAGGACACACTAGGATCATACCATTATGTGAAAGAAGGGTGGGGGGCACAGCAGGTATAGTGGTACAGGCCAGCTGCACAGAGCGACGGGGAGACGGATTTAAATGCAAGCGCGTCGGAAAAAGTCAAGAAATTAGCGAAAACCGGAAAAAAAAGCAGCATCTGGCTGCTTTTCAATGATATTCAAGAAAGCAAAGCTGAGTGCAGGATTTGTAAAATGAAAATAACCTTTTTTGGTTACCTTTATTTTGGTAACCACTCAGGATTTACTGTCAGAGGTGGGAGAAGTTCAGATCTTGTACTTGAGTACAAAAGTAGTGTAGGAATAGTCGGTTACAATAAAAAGTCCTGCATTCAAAATGTTACAAGTAAAAGTACAAAAGTATTAGCATCAAAATATAGTTAAAGTACCACCTGCAGAGGGATCTAGATGCAGGTGTTCTTTTCCCCATAGGGGATAATGTGCCTGGCTGCACATTATCCCTGGCATAAAGATAGATTGTGGGTCCCTTACAACATGTTGTACACAGTGGAAATAAACATTCTGGTTACCTCAACATCAGGGATCTTATACATTAAACTCCTTCTGAATCAAACTGTCACGGTAGCCTTACCTTACTGATCCCTCTTAAAATAGAAAAACACACGTTACTTTACTTAATGTGACTAATAAAGAGCAGTTTGATTATTAAGTATTATTCTGTTGATCGATGTCATTACATTTGGTGAAAAACACATAATGACTTGTTTATGACTCGTTTTGTCAAAGTTTAGGACTTGGACTTGACTTGAACTTGCCCATCCTGACTTGAGACTTGACTTGAACTTGAGCGCAAAGACTTGAGACTTGACTCGGACTTGCAAAACAATGACTTGGTCCCACCTCTGGTATCTACCGTACATTAAAGCTTGTATCTTATTTCATATCTGCACTTTACGGGAACAGTAAAAAGCCAAATCTTTTCTCGTCTCCATTAGATATTATGAGTGGGAATCAACTCGTCCCTGTAATTGGAATCAGCAGCTGTAATGAAACGTACAAATGATAAAAATGAATCCTCAGGTGAAGGTAATGTTTGGTACAGTAAAACGTGGATCAGCAGCTGTGAAGGCTCTGAGCAGAATCACACAAACCATCCTGGCCTTCTGCCCACTATCTAATCTCCTCTTCCTCCTCTTCCTCCTCTTCCTCTCACTACCTGTGATTTATGGCTCTGCTATGAAAGGTGAAGGCAACAACCGGTGCAGCAGCAGAGAGACAGTGATATCTGGGACAGCATTTCCCATTTGGTTTCTCTCAGCTGTTTTTTTCAATCTCACCCTGCTGCTGTTAAACTACTGAATTTCCCCACGGGGATTAATTAAGGTCCATCTTATCTTATCTTATCTTATATGCAAGTGGTTAAGGACGAGGGGGTGTTATGGTTTAATGCTGGGGATGTTTTGATGATGCCTAATGGAATTTAAGGGTGGGACCAGTTGGCTTTTCTCTCTAGTGGGACTGTGAGCTGTGTTCGGGGTGCAGAACTTCTCTATCCTCTGAGGAGGGAGTCGCTCTGTTCCTACATTTGAGATCGATTTCACTTTCTTTATGACTTTATTAAATATAACAAAAGACAAACTTTGTCCATTTATCAGTTTCTCTTAAGAATTTCCTCCACATTTTACTTTTATGTATGCACCGTGACACCAAGTCAAATTCCTCGTACGTATCAACCTACCTGGTAATAAACCTGATTCTGACGTGTCTCCCTCTCTGTCTTATGAATCTCCAAAGATGAGCTGGAGGACAAAGACAGGGATTTTCTTGGTTTTGCTACCTAGAAAAGCTGCAGAAAATGGACGATGTGTGTCCCTCTCTGCAGGTACGGAGACATGGTTCCTAACACCATCGCCGGGAAGATCTTCGGCTCCATCTGCTCGCTCAGCGGCGTGCTGGTGATCGCTCTGCCCGTCCCCGTCATCGTGTCCAACTTCAGCCGGATCTACCACCAGAACCAGAGGGCGGACAAGATGAGGGCGCAGCAGGTCGGTTACTAAGACCACTTAAAGAATAAATAATGATATGTTATGTTGATGAAGAGAATAGTGAAACATGTCACGACGATGTGGTTAAATGTCTTGTTTGTGTCAGTCCAAAGGCAAAGTATAGACCAGGGATGTCCACACCTTTTCCACTGAGGGCCACATACAGAAACATATATATATGAAGGGTTGGGCCACTCACTAGAGCAGTGTTTCTCAAACTTTTTCATACCAAGGACCACTTAACCAATACAAAAACACTCGCGGACGACCTAACTCCACAAATATCAAAAAACACATCGTTTTTCTAGAACAGATTACAAATCGCCTGAAAATGGTACAAACAAGTGGCAACATGTGTGACGAAGGTGTTGCGCTGGGCTATATCATGCAATCGAAAGTGAAACTTAACCACGCTCCTTTGCGGAGATATTTCCGCGAGAGTGAGGAAAACTGAAATTAATGTATTTATTTCAAATGTGAAATGTTACCAATATACTCACGGACCACTAGGGGGCGCTCACGGACCACACTTTGAGAAGAACTGCGACTGGAGGTATACTGCCTCATAAGTTCAGTTATAAAATGCTTTTTACTTTATTGTGTTAGCAGCTCATCCCTTAAAACAGAAGCTTCAGATTGATTATCATGAGAGGAAATATGAAGGGTAGATTTGAAGGTTGTTATGAACATTTGTTATTGGGCTTTTTTCTTATCAACTTGAACATGTTTTCAACTTTAATGGACTGAATTTATTTGAAAGTTGGTCTTATTAACACGTGAAAACTGTGTAATATATTTGAACATGTATATTTAAGAAGAACAATATAAGACAAGCAGAAGTTTATTATACTTCAGTCATTATACTTTTTGAATTAGCTGAGGGTCAAAATAGTCCGCGGGCCGTAGTTTAGACACCCCTGGTATATACAGTTAAAGATTCAAGGCTTTTACTGTCATGTGTACATAGCTACAGTGTAGTTATGACAATGAAAATCTTAGGTCACAGGCTCCTCCAGCAGTGCAACACAATACAACAGATAATAGTGCAAGTAAAGAAAATAGAATATAATAGAAATAGTGCAGAATAGTCTCTATGCAGTCATTTGAACATTGATATAAGTGGCAAACAGATGAATGTTATGGACGTTCTTTCAAAAGTGCAGGTGTTTAACAGTCGTATGGCCTGAGGGATGAAACTGTCTCTGAGTCTGGTGGTTTTAGACCTGATGTTGCTCATGAGAATTAAGAATAACTAATGATAAGTTAATAAAGATAACAGTGAAACATGTCAAGAGGATGTTGGTAAAGGTCTTGTTTTTGTCAGTCCAAAGCACAAAGTATATATAGTATATATATATTATATATGTATGAAAGAAAATGGTCCCTACTTATATACATTATATTTTCAGTCAGAGAAACAGTTTTTTATTTCCTGCAGAGCCTCGAACTATTCACATTTCTGGATGTACCCTATAAACTCTCATCCAAAAAGAAATGTGATTCACCAGACAAGAGATGAAGTCTGACAGGCTTTAACCTTAATACTCCTCTGTGTGTGTGTGTGTGTTGTGTGTGGTGTGTGTGTGTGTGTGTGTGTGTGTGTGTGTGTGTGTGTGTGTGTGTGTGTGTGTGTGTGTGTGTGTGTGTGTGTGTGTGTGTTGTGTGTGTGTGTGTGTGTGTGTGTGTGTGTGTGTGTGTGTGTGTGTGTGTGTGTGTGTGTGTGTGTGTGTGTGTGTGTGTGTGTGAGATGTGCTGACGGTGCTCTTCTTCTCTCTCTGTCCAACAGAAAGTGCGTATGGCTCGGATCCGCATGGCGAAGAGAGGAACAGCCAACGCCTTCCTCCAGTACAAAGAGGACCGAAACATCGGGGTGAGACACACACACACTGTCAGTCGATAGTTTCTCACTATCGAGCAGGAAGGGTGGATTACGGTCCGGTTACCTCAGACAGTGATGGAGCGAGGTGGAAAGAGGACCAAAGAACAGATAGAAAATGAGAAAGACAGGCACTTTTTTTATTATATAAAAACCACAATTTAACTACAAAGTGCTTCTAGATCCTTTTACAAAAAATATAATGTCTAAGGGCCAAAAAACATTATAAAAGGACATTTAAATACAATTAAAAAATGTCATAAAAGAGCCCAGCAATCAATCATAATCGTTTTTTTAACATACATACATATAGTCTGAACTACAAACTCCTCTTTAACTTAATTAGTTCATTTATTTTGGTGATTTTAAATCTTCATTATCCAATGTTGTTTTTGTTTTTGTTTATTTATTAATTTATTGTCGATTGTGGTTGTCTAGCCTTATACAGGTGATATGTGCTAGTTAACTAATTTGCATATATTTGTGTTTTTTATTGTGTGTGTGTGTGTGTGTGTGTGTGTGTGTGTGTGGTGTGTGTGTGTGTGTGTGTGTGTGTGTGTGTGTGTGTGTGTGTGTGTGTGTGTGTGTGTGTGTGTGTGTGCGTGTGTGTGTGTGTGTGTGTGTGTGTGTGTCTGGTGTGTAGGACCCTGACGGCTGTGTGAAGAACAGATCAGCGTTCGACCAACAACACAACCACCTGCTGCACTGTCTGGAAAAAACTACGGTGAGGAACCAAAACATGTCACATATTCAGCTAAATATTCAGAGCAAGAACCAACACTCTGGCACCAAGACTCGGCCCTCGTTTGAATACAGATCTGCAGACAGACCTGTTTTACCATCAGTGCTCGACACTAATGGCGTCTTATGAGAGGCAGAAAAAGTCTTTAGGACGCTTTAAACTCACTGTCAACGAGTCGAGGGGATGCAGCTTGATTATTCTACATTATGATCAACACATCTGTGTTAAATCAGCAGAAGGAGAGTTAGTTCTCACCGTGGTCTCTACTTCACTGGTATTTGTATCCGCTACTACATGGTTCTGGTGTCATGAGATATGCACAGAGACCTGAAGTTCAGATCTGCTTTCACAGTTTTTGGACAGAAGTTGTTAAAACATCTCTCAAAATCTCACTCAAATTTTAAATGTACGTTTATTCAGGAAATTATTAAACGGTTCAATATTCATATCACTCCGGATTAATACTGTTCCTCTGTGCAATTTGAGGATTATTTTAGTTTGTAGCAATAATATCATCATTATTAATTAACACATCAAAGTCAACTTTATTGTCAATCTTTCAAGAGATCGAAATACCGTTTCCCACAATCCCGAAAACACAAATACAAATATATATAAAAATATGTATACAAAGATGTATATCCTATACACAATCAACAGACACATTTATACACATATACATATTCGTTGTTTTTATAAACTGCAATACAATGTGATAATGTGACCCCCCCCCCTCTCTGACAGAACCATGAGTTCACCAACGAGATGAACTACAGCGAGCTGTGCATGACGGAGTCGGTGGGCTTTAAGACGAGTCGCAGCACGTCCCTCTCCAGCCACCAGGGGGCGCAGAACAACTCGTCCGGCTGCTGCCCGCGCCGCGCCCGCCGCCGCGCTGCCATGAGGCTCGCCAACTCCACCGTGTCCGTGAGCCGGGGCAGCGTGCAGGAGCTGGACACGCTGCACCTGAAGACCACCTGCATACCCCCTCAGACGTAAAGACCACCAGCACTGACATAAATGATTCGTCTATTCTAACATTATTAGAATGGAGCGGTGCAGGGATGACGGATTTATCTGGAAGGAAGCTGCTGGTTCCCTCGAGACAAAGCAACGGGATTTCTCCATAGGATTTTGGAAAATAGCTCGAAATAAGATCTGTGGAAAACGAGCCTGTTTGATAAATGCACGTTTTGTTCAGCCGGATCATCTCCACATGTCTACCCTACTTTTATAATGTTCAAATCATAAATCTAATCTCCAGAAGCAAAATGCTAACGTTATGCTACAAAGGAACTACAGCCGAGTCCAGCAGCACGACTTCAACGTCACGCCAACTTCAGATCCATATTCAAACACACAGATTCTAGATGGTACGAGTTGAAGCGTTAGTTTGAACAGTTAGCAGGAGGCAGGGACTGGCTTTCAAGCAGAACAGAAACTAACTTAGAGGAGTGTTTACGTGTTCGGCGTAATGACGTACAACGTCCTCGACAACTTCTGTAGTCCTATTCAGCCACTTGGTAACAACCATCGTTTCTCAGACACGTCAACTCTTCAGAAATCACCAGTGGGGTCACTGCTGATGGATTTAATGTCGTAGAACAAAACGTGATCCGTCTCTTCAATGTGTCTCAACCACAGAGCTTAGTTCAGATAGTTTCCTAAATCCTATGGAGAGATCCCATTGGCTCTGAGACGAGGGAACAGGAAGTGGTGAAATGCTGACTCACTTCCTGGTTTTAGGATTCGTTCCTGCACCGCTCTATTATACCATTTATAATAAAACAAGTGTGAAACATTTCCATTAACTCCAAAGTGTTGCAAAAATCTACATTTTAATCAAAAAATATGGATGTATTTATTTGCAAAGATATTTGTACACAACCAAATACTCTGCTTTAATTAAAGCTGAGGAGTTTAGCCTTTAAAAAAAATCCTTGAGAAAATGAGTGGTCTTTTTTGCTCATTAACAATAAAACCATATATGTTGTGTTCCTCTTCCTCTCCTCAGCCGCTCCAGTCTGAACGCCCAGATGTGCGACATGAAGCTGAACTGCGGGGATCCGGACTTCACGGCCGCCATCATCAGCATCCCAACCCCCCCCGCCAACTCCCCCGACGAGAGCCTCCCCCCCTCGCCCGCCCCCATGCTGGGCATCCTGAGAAACACCCGGGCCACGGCCTACATCCAGGACTCCGTCAAGATCTCCTCCTTATAACCTCCGACCTCCTTCCTCCTCCGTTAGTAACCCACTCTTCCCTACCTCCTATTCCCTAATAACCTCCATCTGAACCCCTGATCCTGAACGCAGGGCACTGAGGCGGAGATCTTGGGGCGAAATACAGATACTTTGGGTTTTCTCTCACTTCCTTTTCCCTTTTTTTGTGGATTAATGGAGATAAGCTTGAGAAAAAGTGGTAGAAAATAAAGGAAAAGACGCAAAACTGGAGCTAGGAAATCAACTTAAGGGATGAACTAATAGGTTTTTTTCTGGATCCTTCCCTTATGCATTTTGCCCCGTCACGCACCCCCTCCCCTGCACAGTGTGGACCCTTTGAATCTCATTGCACAAATCTCGCTGGGGTTCAAACGACAGAAAAGAAGCCAAGACTCCCAAAGAAAACATTTAGCGTCCCGAAACATGTGACATCGGGTCGATTCTGAGTGCCACTGAACGTAACGCTTTACAATGGGGAACGAAATGACCCAAAGGAAGACAAGTTGACGGGTTGGTCTCAGAAACAAATCTGAAGGACTGTCGGACTAGACTCACCTGTGATTGGAACAAGACGATCTGTAGACAACCCAACAACCCTCAGCGGCTCCTTTAGCTACAACTACTTTACTTTGGATGTTTTAGGTTGCGGGGAAATACGTGAGAGGAAAACCAAAACACGTACGGATCGGTGTTTTGGCTTTATTCCAAGCAGGATGGTTTCGAAAGACCTTTGAGCCTGAGTGCAATGACAACAATACTCAGTTGGACCTCTTAAGCTTGAAATGTACAGGATGGAGGTTGAGAAAAAACCCCAAATATCTACAAGAAGAGGATGAAACATGAATCCCAAATCCGATGGAGTTCAGGAGTAATGGATGGTCTCTTCACTGGCTCTGGTTCAGCAGCTGAAGCCCCTTCTGGTCACATTTTAAGGAGAAGTAATGAAACTTTGATCAGAATCCAGATGGACGACGGGGGAAGAAACTTGAAAATGTGTGGAACCAGACGCTGCTAAAAACGCATGAATATCAAACTGATGTCTGCCGAGCCTTTTCACATCCCTACACTGAGCTGATCTGAACTCTAAGAAGCTGAATCGAGCAAAAACTGAGCAGCGCTGGACTGGGTTTTTCTAAAAAGGGACTTAAGATTCTGGGCTGGATTCATCTGGTCTGAGATGGACTCGTCTGGTCTGGCTGTAGCTTCTCACTGACGTCCAGACCGGGGAAGCCTTTTACTTTTTCAAAATATGCAACATTACAACAAGCAGGAAAAATAGCATCAACAAATGAACATAGTAATACCAATAATAATAATGTGTGTGTTATAAAAGAAACTACAGTAATTATTGCAGGGAAAGTAAAGCAACGTAGACATCCTCTTGTTGTTCGATCTCTTCAGAGAGAACAGGACGAGTTCTCTGCAATACATTAATGCAGCGGGAGAGGAAACAAAACGCCGAAATATCCTCAGCGATGTCAGCCGGTGACGTGCATTCTGGGTAAAAAAGAGTTGTTTTTAACTTAATCATGAAGGTGGTGAAGATCCATCTGCAGAAGTTGACATCAAAGTCACTTATGTATTTATAATGGGTGCTCCATCTTGAGCGTCAGCAGTGGAAAGTAACCCCTTAATATGAAGAGCTACGCATGTGAAGTGTGCAAAGACAGGAGCGTTACTTTAGGCGTGCGCCCTCATACCAAAATGCAGATTTCACCCGTAAAATGCTAAAGTGATGCCAGAAAACAATATTTCTGTTCATCAAAAATGGTATAATTACTGTCAAATTGTGTCAAATAGAGCGTCCAGTAGGTCTGCAGCAGGCTGACACTGAAACTGATATTTCTGAGTTTCTTTTACTGTCCTTTTCTCTGTAGAGGAAGTAGAGAAACCGTAACTCGAGATTTCTTTGATGTTTGAGGTGCAATATATGACTCAGCGGTTTTAAGACATGAAGACACTTTTATTTTCAGCTTCGCTCTAATGCAGGAGAGTCCAAACTTTAAAGTTATAAGTTAGCAAAATCAATCCAATGTAGGTCATTTGTTGGAGCAGGGTATATCTCGTGCACAGAAAACATCAAGTTAAATGTATCTATATAGCACATTTAAAACAACCTCAGTGGACCAAAGTGCTTTCCTGTTTTAAAATAAGACAATCAGAAATCAATAAAAGATTAAAGACATCATTGTACACGGGTAAAGATAGATCAAACGAAAATAAATACAATAAACGTTACAGTATAAATCAATTAAAACCAAGATAGCTTGCTGGGGCTGAACGCCAGAGGAGACATGGGTTTAGTATGAAGTAAAGCTACTTTAAAGAGTCCTCTCCTGCTGATGTTCAGGTGTATATCAGTATGTAGTGTCTCTACTTTAAAGAGTCCTCTCCTGCTGATGTTCAGGTGTATATCAGTATGTAGTGTCTCTACTTTAAAGAGTCCTCTCCTGCTGATGTTCAGGCGTATATCAGTATGTAGTGTCTATACTTTAAAGAGTCCTCTACTGCTGATGTTCAGGTGAATATCAGTATGTAGAGTCTCTACTTTAAAGAGTCCTCTCCTGCTGATGTTCAGGTGTATATCAGTATGTAGTGTCTCTACTTTAAAGAGTCCTCTCCTGCTGATGTTCAGGTGTATATCAGTATTAGTGTCTCTACTTTAAAGAGTCCTCTCCTGCTGATGTTCAGGTGTATATCAGTATTTAGTGTCTCTACTTAAAGAGTCCTCTCCTGCTGATGTTCAGGTGTATATCAGTATTTAGTGTCTTCTACTTTAAAGAGTCCTCTCCTGCTGATGTTCAGGTGTATATCAGTGTGTAGTGTCACTACTTTAAAGAGTCCTCTCCTGCTGATGTTCAGGTGTATATCAGTGTGTAGTGTCACTACTTTAAAGAGTCCTCTCCTGCTGATGTTCAGGTGTATATCAGTATGAAGTGTCTCTACTTTAAAGAGTTCTCTCCTGCTGATGTTCAGGTGTATATCAGTGTGTAGTGTCACTACTTTAAAGAGTCCTCTCCTGCTGATGTTCAGGTGTATATCAGTATGAAGTGTCTCTACTTTAAAGAGTCCACTCCTGCTGATGTTCAGGTGTATATCAGTATGTAGTGTCTCTACTTTAAAGAGTGCTCTCCTGCTGATGTTCAGGTGTATATCAGTATGTAGTGGTCTCTACTTTAAAGAGTCCTCTCCTGCTGATGTTCAGGTGTATATCAGTATGTAGTGTCTCTACTTTAAAGAGTCCTCTCCTGCTGATGTTCAGGTGTATATCAGTATGTAGTGTCTCTACTTTAAAGAGTCCTCTCCTGCTGATGTTCAGGTGTATATCAGTATGTAGTGTCTCTACTTTAAAGAGTCCTCTCCTGCTGATGTTCAGGTGTATATCAGTATTTAGTGTCTCTACTTTAAAGGTCCTCTCCTGCTGATGTTCAGGTGTATATCAGTATTTAGTGTCTCTACTTTAAAGAGTCCTCTCCTGCCTTGATGTTCAGGTGTATCAGTATGTAGTGTCTCTACTTAAAGAGTCCTCTCCTGCTGATGTTCAGGTGTATATCAGTATTTAGTGTCTCTACTTTAAAGAGTCCTCTCCTGCTGATGTTCAGGTGTATATCAGTATTTAGGTCTTTTTATTACCTTGTAATAGTAGTCCTCTCCTGCTGATGTTCAGGTGTATATCAGTATTGTAGTGTCCTCTACTTTAAAGAGTCCCTCTCCTGCTGATGTTCAGGTGTATATCATGTATGTAGTGTCCTACTTTAAAGAGTCCTCTCCTGCTGATGTTCAGGTGTATATCAGTGGTGTAGTGTCACTACTTTAAAGAGTCCTCTCCTGCTGAGTGTTCAGGTGTATATCATGTGTGTAGTGTCCTACTTTAAAGAGTCCTCTCTGCTGATGTTTCAGGGTATATCAGTATGAAGTGTCCTACTTTAAAGAGTTCTCTCCTGCTGATTGTCAGGTGTAGATCAGTGTGTAAGTGTCACTACTTTAAAGAGTCCTCTCCTGCTGATGTTCAGGTGTATATCAGTATGAAGTGTCTTCTACTTTAAAGAGGTCCACTCTGCTGATGTTCAGGTGTATATCAGTATGTAGTGTCTCTACTTTAAAGAGTGCTCTCCTGCTGATGTTCAGGTGTATATCAGTATGTAGTGTCTCTACTTTAAAGAGTCCTCTCCTGCTGATGTTCAGGTGTATATCAGTATGTAGTGTCTCTACTTTAAAGAGTCCTCTCCTGCTGATGTTCAGGTGTATATCAGTATGTAGTGTCTCTACTTTAAAGAGTCCCTCTCCTGCTGATGTTCAGGTGTATATCAGTATTAGTGTCTCTACTTAAAGAGTCCTCTCCTGCTGATGTTCAGGTGTATATCAGTATGTAGTGTCTCTACTTTAAAGAGTCCTCTCCTGCTGATGTTCAGGTGTATATCAGTATGTAGTGTCTCTACTTTAAAGAGTCCTCTCCTGCTGATGTTCAGGTGTATATCAGTATTTAGTGTCTCTACTTTAAAGAGTCCTCTCCTGCTGATGTTCAGGTGTATATCAGTATTTAGTGTCTCTACTTTAAAGAGTCCTCTCCTGCTGATGTTCAGGTGTATATCAGTATGTAGTGTCTCTACTTTAAAGAGTCCTCTCCTGCTGATGTTCAGGTGTATATCAGTATGTAGTGTCTCTACTTTAAAGAGTCCTCCCCTGCTGATGTTCAGGTGTATATCAGTATGAAGTGTCTCTACTTTAAAGAGTCGTGTTTAAAAAACGACAAAACCTTTTTGTCCGAATGCACGCCATCAGCCAAACTCCAGCTGCGAGTATTTCAGTGAAGCGTTTTTTTCCCTCGACCGCTCAGAAGCGCGTGCGAGTGAGCGATGGGAGAAAAGAAGACGTACATACTGTAACATATTTTGTATCATAAACTTTCACCTGCATCTTCCAATCAAAGTCCTCAAACCAAAAAAAAGAAAAAGACAAAAAACAGTTAGGAAGCCGCGGTGGTCCTGGCGGCGTTCTGTGCATGAGTACGGTAGAAGTAGCACTACTGATCAGAGAGAAGACACACGACACGATCTCATCATCTGTTATTTTGCATGATGTCGTTTCATTTTCCTCTCATTGGTTTGTTTTCCTCACCCCCCCCCCCCCCCCCGTCCCGTCCCGAATCTTTTCAAGACGAGTGTTTGCACCGCGAGAAATAAAAACAGATTATATAAATTAATTTCAAAAAAATCATTCAGGCATGTTCCTCGCCAGAATGCAAAGTGTACATGTGTGTGAATGGGCAGGTGTGTGTGTGTGTGTGTGTGTGTGTGTGTGTGTGTGTGTGTGTGTGTGTGTGTGTGTGTGTGTGTGTGTGTGTGTGTGTGTGTGTGTGTGTGTGTGTGTGTGTGTGTGTGTGTGTGTGTGTGTGTGTGTGTGTGTGTGTGTGTGTGTGTGTGTGTGTGTGTGTGTGTATGATGAGCAGTCACAAATATGCATGGATACCGTTATAGGTATTTGATCTGTTTTCTCCTGCAGTTAGAGGCGACTGAGAGGAGGCCGAGCAGACGTCTGTTCGCTGGACGCTCATTTATTTAACTTTTGTCATTGTTTTTTATTTATAAAATACGTCTTACATAGTCGTGTCTTTATGTTTTAACTTGTGTCTGTAGCTGTGGCTCTCAGCTGGACTTTACATCGTTTATTTTAGTAATAAATACGAGTAGTTTCTGAAATAATTAGCACCATAAAATGTTCTAATTTGTACGTTTGAATATTTACTAATTGGTTTCTTTATCCCACCTCAAGGTCCGCTTACAAGCTTTTACCGGAGCGTTCAATCAGAGTCTATGCTAAGAATTGCTAAAATGTGGTTCAGATTGATCGTAAACAGAGAGAACATTTATTAATTTGAACCCTTTAAGATTGTAATTTAGGCTGGAAGTTACCTCTCTCAAACATTAACAAACCCCGACTTAATCGATACATTTAAGACCATGAAATGTTGACTACATTCCCTGTTATTGCTAATTAAAACAATCCACAATGAAACTGCCAAATGAATTCATGCCCCTTTGGTCTTCCATACAACAGCACCTGGTTTGTAATCCATCACACAGACAGCAGTTTTAGCAGAATTGATTCCACATTTTTGTTATTTTCTACATCACGAACCAGGGGTTTGAAGTGTGTATTCTAAATTGCTGAATTGAAAGGGAATTACGTTACTTTTCTTGTCATTAATTTGATCTTTGGTTGACCCTGGATTTGCAAACAACGCTTCATTGGAGGCGTGTGGTGCAGTGGTTTAGTGTGTTGGGGTCACAGCCCTAGTTCAAACCCCACTGCAGTCAGCGGCCGTTTCTCAATCGCGAGGATGCTTGCTTGGTAGCACATGTCTTCCGAGTCACTTCCTTCAGAAGCGAGGCAAGAATCCTTCCTGGCATTCGGAAAACAAAGAGTGGACCAGGCGAGCAAGTGTGCAGGTGTGCGTCATATGAGAGGCCCCGCCTTACATTTTCCGCCACAGATTTGGGGAAATTGTCCGTGCGCAAAGCATTGTGGGGATTTTAAGACCGCAGAGTCTACCCATGTGCAGCCTCGAAATTACCCCCAAACCAAGGACGCGGCCTCGGTGGAATTCCAAGTATACTGGAGATTGGAACAGTCCTTCGGCGGCACTCGATGACGTAGCATCCTTGAAATATTGGCTTGGAAGCCAGTTTCCTCGAGATTGAGAAACGGCCATAGTGTCGTTTTGTCCCTGAGACACTTCACCCCAAAGTGCTCCTGTGGGGATTGCCCACAGTATTGAGTATGTAAGTCGCTTTGGATAAAAGTGTCTAACATGTGACATGTAATGTAATGTAATATCTCTGTCATTTTGTAGGAACAAAAGTTTTAAATATTGTTTTATTAAAAGTATTATATTGATTTAGAATCTCATATTTTTAAGATTTTTTTTTTCTATGAATTAAAGCACTTGCTCTCCATCAGTAGCAATTATTAATATAAAGTTTGATAGTTTAGTCCAGAGGTTCTCAACCTAAGGGTCGTGCCCCTCCAAAGGTCACCAGGTAAATCTCAGGGGTGGAAAGAAGCAAATGATTTCTAAAACATAAATCTGTTTTCCCTTTCTAGACATGTCTCCAACATTGTATTTGTAATGCAATAATGATTACATTACATGTTAGACGCTTTTATCCAAAGCGACTCACATACTCAATACTGTCCCCACAGGAGCAATTTGGGGTGAAGTGTCTCAGGGACACAATGACATGCTGACTGCAGTGGGGTTTGAACCTGATCCCAACACCAACGCACAACCCACTGCACCACACGCCTCCCTAGGGTCAAAAACACTCCACGGGGAGGACTTTGTTGATTTTATGGGGTATAAAACATGTTTCTTTATTCAACACTTGGCTTTTATCTCAGGATGTGTCTTCATTCATGTGGAGAAATATTAACAATGCATAAAAGAACATTTACCCCAAAAAGAAAACAGAAGATTTACGGGTTACTCGTACAGTTTATCAGATGTTTTTCACTGTTATGCATTGAATATAAAATGAAATATCCTTTCCACTTTGTCGGGGGTTGTCCCTTTACCCAAGGATTACAAAAAAATTACCACTGTCTTAAAAAATACAAAATATCCAGGTATTACGATCTGTCTTAGGAGTCCAGCACCCGTAGACAGGGTTTCATTCGTAACCCGTGTGTTCTTCTGAAGCAGGATGTTAAATAGCTTTTTAACTTTCCAAAAGCTCTTCCACTTTATCCGCATCTGGAGTGGTGTTTATGCAACAGATCCGTAAAGTGGAATCCCTCTTCTTCAAATCTAGCAAACTTTATTTATCTGACAAAGCACATTGGTCTCGTGCAGAGGAGACGGAGAGAGGTGAACACATAATGAAATGTGAGCTTCGATGATCTGTTGAGATAATAAGCAGCACTTCAGATGCTTCTGTATATGTTGTGTCCAGTGACCTGATGTCGAGTCTCAGAGAGCGTGGTGAGCGAATGAATGAAGGAGAAAACAGCATTAAAGCACAGAGGTGTATATTCCATTCCACTAATAAAGACAACAGAAATATGAAACACGGCTGCTTGTTTTCTGGACTGTTGCTCATGGATATCACTTAGAAAACTGATTTACACACTGTACATTTTACTCCAATGGGAAGTACATTTACTCAAGTACTTAAGTACAATTTAGAGATACTTGTTCTTTACTTGAGTATTTCAATGTTATGCTACTTTGTATTTTTACTCCACTGTATTTAATAACTTTAGTTACTTCACAGATGTGGATGAATGACTTTAATTTAATTTAGTTCCACCTGGAGTAAATCCACCAGCTACCCTGCAGTCTACAAAGTCATTCAGACTAGCTGCACCTTTACCAGCTTTGAGAACACTTTCATGTTCAATCATTATAAAACATATCATATCTATTATTCTGAAATGGACCAATCTGCACAACGACTACTTTTACTGTCACTACTTTCACTATATTTTGATGAGAATACTTTTCTACTTTTACTTGAGGAACATTTTGAATGCAGGACTTTTACTGTAACAGAGTATTCCTACACTCTGGTACTTCTACTTTTACTCAAGTACAAGATCTGAGTACTTCTACTTTTACTCAAGTACAAGATATGAGTACTTCTACTTTTACTCAAGTACAAGATCTGAGTACTTCTACTTTTACTCAAGTACAAGATCTGAGTACTTCTACTTTTACTCAAGTACAAGATCTGAGTACTTCTACTTTTCCTCAAGTACAAGATCTGAGTACTTCTACTTTTCCTCAAGTACAAGATCTGAGTACTTCTACTTTTACTCAAGTACAAGATCTGAGTACTTCTACTTTTACTACAAGACCTGAGTACTTCTACTTTTACTCAAGAACAAGATCTGAGTACTTCTACTTTTACTCAAGTACAAGATCTGAGTTCTTCTATACTTTTACTCAAGTACAAGATCTGAGTACTTCTACTTTTACTCAAGAACAAGATCTGAGTACTTCTACTTTTACTCAAGTACAAGATCTGAGTACTTCTACTTTTACTCAAGTACAAGATCTGAGTTATTCTATACTTTTACTCAAGTACAAGATCTGAGTACTTCTACTTTTACTCAAGAACAAGATCTGAGTACTTCTACTTTTACTCAAGTACAAGATCTGAGTACTTCTACTTTTACTCAAGTACAAGATCTGAGTACTTCTACTTTTACTCAAGTACAAGATCTTGAGTACTTCTACTTTTACTCAAGTACAAGATCTGAGTACTTCTACTTTTACTCAAGTACAAGATCTGAGTACTTCTACTTTTACTCAAGTACAATATCTGAGTACTTCTACTTTTACTCAAGTACCAGATCTAAGTACTTCTACTGTTACTCACAGTACAAGATCTGTAGGAGTACTTCTACTTTTACTCAAGTACAAGATCCTGAGTACTTCCTACTTTTACTCAAGTACAAGATCTGAGTACTTCTACTTTTACTCAAGTACAAGATCTGAGTACTTCTACTTTTACTCAAGTACAATATCTGAGTACTTCTACTTTTACTCAAGTACAAGATGCTGAGTACTTCTACTTACTCAAGTACAAGATCTGAGTACTTCTACTTTTACTCAAGTACAAGATCTGAGTACTTCTACTTTTACTCAAGTACAAGATCTGAGTACTTCTACTTTTACTCAAGTACAAGATCTGAGTACTTCTACTTTTACTCAAGTACAATATCTGAGTACTTCTACTTTTACTCAAGTACCAGATCTAAGTACTTCTACTTTTACTCAAGTACAAGATCTGAGTACTTCTACTTTTACTCAAGTACAAGATCTGAGTACTTCTACTTTTACTCAAGTACATGATCTGAGTACTTCTACTTTTACTCAAGTACAAGATCTGAGTACTTCTCGCACCTGTGTATTCCTCTTCAGGACAGAAAAGGCACATATGGATGTGTGATTAAATGCAGTAACTGATGTAACAGCGACATCTAGTGGACATACTGTGGATTACAAGTATATTTACTTACTGCACACACACATTTGAGATACTGCTGTTAGTGTTAAATGTATCATTCACTCAAAAACATTTAAATATAATAAACTTGTAATCTATATTTCAATCGGTCATGACTGGACAAGGTTTCTATACTGTCTTAAATTAAATCGTCTTATTTAGTTCGTCTCCATAAAAGTCATTAGAATCAATTCAAATAATCCAAAATGTATTCAACAAATAAACAATGATGTTTTATTATAGATTGATTTTTTCTGATCATTGGGAGTGAAAATATGCAAATTACCATCCAGTTGATTAAATATTGCGCAAATGATATGATAAATGAGTTTTAGATTATATTGTAAACTATTAATCTTGATCTGAATCTTCAAATAACTTTGAACTGTCAAACACATATTTTAGTTACCATATTTTAAATGCAGGAAATGAACTAAAGTACGTAGGTAAGTGAAGTGTACTAATATAGAATATGTTTACTGGCCACCAGAGACTCTCAGTATATTGTAATGCCAATACTTTTAAATAAATTAAATCAATACAAAAATTAAATGCAAAGACTTTGACAGAATGTTTCACATGTTGGTTTATCTAAATAATTCATGAGAGCTTCCTCCTGCTGCTGTTCTGCAACAAGAGAACACCAACAGCTGTGAGGCTTTCATTGCCGCAATGCATCATGGGAGATTAGGTGGTTCCTCTACCTGCGGTGACTCTTCTCCTCCTTTATCCTCTCTGGCTCTCTCATGTTGCCTCCTTTTCTTTACCGGGGTGCATTTCGGGTTTTCTCCCGATGTGGACGCGTTTAATCCGGCTCTGAAACTCGACCCGGTACCAGCACCGGAACCAGGGATACAAACTCACTTTAAAACACCATCAATCGTTGTTTTTGGCACATTTTCTCCATTTGTTCTACCTGTTTCTGAGGACAGAAGCACCTGTTGCTCACCTGTCAGCAAGGAAGTGAGGAAACACGAGAGGAGCCGAAGAAGGAATATAACTAAAAAAATATATATAAAGGAGGGACAAACACACTTTTAGTCAACATGGATTTAATGGATTCAGGACCGAAGTTCAACCCGAGACAGGTGAGTTCTTACCTGTAATATTCACCCGTGCGTGACGTCACAGCCCGGACAGGTTAGTCGGTTTCACTCGAGATAAAAAAGTGAAACCGAGCAGAGTTTCTGTGTAGATGTGAAACATAAGAGTATTAATACTCGTCATGTGATTTAACATAATCCATAGTGGGTTTTATCACAGACTGTAACGTGTTTCCCAGCAGGCTGCACTGGTTCCAATGGTTTTGTGTCATTAGTAATGGTTTACATACTATCTGTCATGATGGTGTTGGATTACAGTACACACAATATGCTTCAGATATAACATCTTTACAAGCTATTAAAAATATCAATTATACACGTTAACAGTACAGATATTACTATTTGCTTATGTTGTGTCTGTTGTTTGCACTGGTTTTAATGGCTTTGTATTGGTCTATAGTAATACTTTCTAATGGATAATACTCAAACATACCATACGTAGACTACATATGACATAAAGCAATCATTAAATGACTGAATAAAGCACATTAAAACACATATTTACCTTTTGTATTTGCTTATTATGTCGATTATTGTCATTGTTGTTGATTATTATGAAATCAATAGAAAAACAACACATTTTAAATCATCTGTGTTTTTCAGTACAGAATACTGTTTCTATTGTGTCTACTGCATCTGAAACTATTAGTCCTTTAATTAAGTAATTAATTGAATTTAAACTACCATTTAACAGTAGACCATAGTGACTAAGTACTCGAGTATTTCCATTTCTACTACTGAATACTTCTACTCCACTTCATCTCAGAGGGGCATATTGTACTTTTACTGCTCAGATAATAATACAAAATATATTTAACAAATATATGATGAGCAAATATTAAAGATTATTTTCTAGAGCAATGGATGGATGGAAAAATGTCGTGTGTGTGTGTGTGTGTGTGTGTGTGTGTGTGTGTGTGTGTGTGTGTGTGTGTGTGTGTGTGTGTGTGTGTGTGTGTGTGTGTGTGTGTGTGTGTGTGTGTGTGTGTGTGTGTGTGTGTGTGTGTGTGTGTGTGTGTGTGTGTGTGTGTGTGTGTGTGTGTGTGTGGTGTGTGGTGTGTGTGGTGTGTGTGTGTGTGTGTGTGTGTGTGTGTGTGTGTGTGTGTGTGTGTGTGTGTGTGTGTGTGTGTGTGTGTGTGTGTGTGTGTGTGTGTGTGTGTGTGTGTGTGTGTGTGTGTGTGTGTGTGTGTGGAGGTGCAGCAGCTGTATGTCACACAGGGTGTGTATCACAGGATTAAACAAGTCAGTCAGCTGCAGAGAAAACATTCCTGCCAACACCCTGCTGCACTTTCTCAGAATAAACAGGTTCACACACACACACACACACACACACACACACAAGTCTACTAGATATTGTCCAACTCTTTTTTTTTGACAAATCCTATGTCATTTGTCGGGTTGCTTTCAGTGGAGGCTTCCTGCAGGATATGAGTCCGATTGCTTCTGGCTTTCACCATCTGAATTTTGTAAAACATCCAATCAAAGCGATGTTTCTCTCTGAACTGACTCAGAAGTGACCAAAGTATCCTTTCACACGCAAACCAACAACCTTTAGAGCCAGGAGAAGAGGCAGAGGTCACTTGAATCACACAATGCTCAGAGCGGGTTATCATAAAGATATTGTCTCCCTGCTCGTCATGAATCAATAAGTTCTCATTTTAGTACTCGAGTCAAATTATTTATATTAACATGTAACGTTCTTTTGACTCCTTAGAGCAGCCTAAATGATAAATACAGCCAGACTACATGTCTCCCTGACTGCTGTGTATCCAGATGTTATGTGTTTATCTGAGCTTTGACAACATTTACATTTTATGAACGTGTCCTTCTACAAACGATGTCTCTGTTACTCTGTTTTAGTCTAGAGAAGCTCTACCTGCTGACTGTGTGTTCTGATGTAATGACCAACAGCCAGGGGCGGTTCTAGGGGGGGGCCAGTGCCCCTAACACTGACCTCTGTGGCCCCCCTAACAATGAAAAGTTCTTTTTTTTTTTTTTTTAAATGTTAAATGTGTTAGTGCAAACATTGCACTATAACTTAAGCTGAAGCTAACAGTAATAACTATAAGATCTATCTGACATAAATAAGTGTACTGAAACAAATACCAATAACTGTATTGCATTGTTTTCTTATGCGCAATTACTTCATACTGTCTAATTCTCTTTTTCGTCCTGCATTTATTGTGCCCCCCTCAGAAAATAACTGGCCCCCCAGTGGCCCCCCCAGTCAAATTGGTCTAGAACCGCCACTGCCAACAGCAGCTGATGTTTCAACAGATAACACAGAAGCATTTAGAGGGACGAATAAACCTCACTCTCTCTTTAATTATATCCTACTTTTAAACTTTGTTAGCTGTCATTTGGCCCTTCATGGTGTTTGTTTGACAGATAGTCCACGTACTGCACGTCCCTGCAATGCCTCGTTTTAACTTACGATAAGATTTAAGTAAATGTTCTCTTTACACCATGTAAGCCGAGGCATTGCAGATAAATGGAAATTAAAAAGTGTGGGAAATAAAGAATTATGAAATATAAACATCTCAAAATGGAAAACACAAATGGAACTAAAACAGTAAAAAATATACAAGTTGACCGTGAAGATACTCATCTGTAAACTACCTGACAAATTAAACAATATTGAAGGGCTAAATTACAGCTAACAACATTTAAAAGTAGGCCAGTATTTAGATTTAGTACACACATCCTGTACTCAAGTAGAAGTACAGATACGCGTGTTTAAAAATACTGTGGTAAAAGTAGAAGTACTGACTAAACTTCTTTACTCAAGTCAAAGTAAAGCGGCTTTGAAATGTACTTCAGGAAAAAGTACCCATAACTAGCAGCTGTTTTAAAGAGTACCTGACCTCCCTTTATATTAATAGAACAATAATGTCATTGTTAGCTAATTAATGTTTCCATGCTGAACAACGGCAACATGACAACGTTTCCATTGGTCCCTCTTCTTTAGAGAAGACCAGGAAATGATGGATACACGAATCGTGTTCAAATCAATAGGCACGCAATGACTCTAAATAATAATGATCACGCACCAAACACACATTCAGACTAAAGGAACCAGCTGTTTGGGAAAATGAGAGAAGTAGAAAGTACAGGTATTTGAGTTCAACATGTAAGAAGTAGAAAGTACAGGTATTTGTGTTCAACATGTAAGAAGTAGAAAGTACAGGTATTTGGGTTCAACATGTAAGAAGTAGAAAGTACTGGTATTTGGTTGGTGGTGGTGATTGGCTAATGGTTACACAAGACAACACATTATGACATCATAAAGTGGCCAAAATCTGATCAGCTTATTTTCAGACAGGTTTTTATAGAAATGGATCAAAAAGAGAGAGAATCTTTGTTCCTGAAACTTTCAGAGTCTCTTTCCACAGAGGGGACACATGTTAATGTAGAAGAGACATGAAGAAGAGGGGACACATGTTGATGTAGAAGAGACATGAAGAAGAGGGGACACATGTTGATGTAGAAGAGACATGAAGAAGAGGGGACACATGTTGATGAAGAAGAGACATGAAGAAGAGGGGACACATGTTGATGTAGAAGAGACATGAAGAAGAGGGGACACAAGTTGATGAAGAAGAGGGGACACATGTTGATGTGGAAGAGACATGAAGAAGAGGGGACACATGTTGATGTAGAAGAGACATGAAGAAGAGGGGACACATGTTGATGAAGAAGAGACATGAAGAAGAGGGGACACATGTTGATGTAGAAGAGACATGAAGAAGAGGGGACACATGTTGATGTAGAAGAGACATGAAGAAGAGGGGACACATGTTGATGTAGTAGAGACATGAAGAAGAGGGGACACATGTTGATGTAGAAGAGACATGAAGAAGAGGGGACAGATGTTGATGTAGAAGAGACATGAAGAAGAGGGGACACATGTTGATGTAGAACAGACATGAAGAAGAGGGGACACATGTTGATGTAGAAGAGACATGAAGAAGAGGGGACACGTGTTGATGTAGAAGAGACATGAAGAAGAGGGGACACATGTTGATGTAGTAGAGACATGAAGAATAGGGGACACATGTTGATGTAGAAGAGACATGAAGAAGAGGGGACACATGTTGATGTAGAAGAGACATGAAGAAGAGGGGACACATGTTGATGTAGAAGAGACATGAAGAAGAGGGGACACATGTTGATGTAGAAGAGACATGAAGAAGAGGGGACACATGTTGATGTAGAAGAGGGGACACATGTTGATGTAGAAGAGACATGAAGAAGAGGGGACACATGTTGATGTAGAAGAGACATGAAGAAGAGGGGACACATGTTGATGTAGAAGAGACATGAAGAAGAGGGGACACGTGTTGATGTAGAAGAGACATGAAGAAGAGGGGACACATGTTGATGTAGAAGAGACATGAAGAAGAGGGGACACATGTTGATGAAGAAGAGGATTTTGTGTAATAGGTGACCTTTAAGTATGTCTTATCTGATCGCATCTTGCACCCCAGGACACGGACTGGGACGCGGCCTTGCAGTTCCTCCCGGCCCCCGACCCCCGGCAGCATCAGAAGAAGCCGGGTCAGAGGAGGCAGATGTGGGTCGGAGTCGGTCTCCTATTGGCTGCTTCTGCTGTCGCTCTCATCACCGGCCTGCTGGTGTGGCACTTCCACTGTGAGAACTATCACACACATGTTAGCCTTTGCAGACCATTTACATCAGTGGTGTCCAAACTACGACCCGGGGGCCAAATGCGGCCCGCGGACCATTTTGAATCGGCCCTCAGCAAATGAAAAAAAGCATAATGACTTAAGTAAAATAAACTTCTGTCTTATATTCTACTTCTTAAATATATATGTTCAAATAGATAACACAGTAGTATTCATGTGTTAATGAGACCACTTTTCAAATAAATTCAGTCCATTAAAGTTGAAAACATGTTCTAACAAATCTTAGTTGATAAAAAAAATCCCAATAAATCGTTTCCATAACAACCTTGAAATCCATCCATCCAACCATCTTCTCCCGCTTATCCGTGGTCGGGTCTCGGGGTAGCAGTTCCAGCAGAGAGCCCCAAACTTTCTTTTCCCTGGCGACATCAACCAGCTCTGACTGGGGGATCCCAAGGCGCTCCCAGGCCAGCGAAGAGATATAATCCCTCCACCTGGTCCTAGGTCTACCCCTTGGTCTCTTCCCAGCTGGACGTGCCTGGAACACCTCCCTAGGGAGGCGCCCAGGTGGCATCCTAACTAGGTGCCCGAACCACCTCAACTGGCTCCTTTCGACGCGAAGGAGGAGCGGCTCAACTCCGAGTCCCTCCCTGATGACCGAACTTCTCACCTTATCCCTAAGGGAGACACCAGCCACCCTGCGGAGGAAACCCATCTCGGCCGCTTGTATCCGCGATCTCGTTCTTTCGGTCATGACCCATCCTTCATGACCATAGGTGAGGGTAGGAATGAAAATGGCCCGGTAGACAGAGAGCTTTGCCTTCTGGCTCAGCTCTCTTTTCGTCACAACGGTGCGGTAAAGCGACTGCAGTACCGCTCCCGCTGCTCCGATTCTCCGGCCCATCTCACGCTCCATTGTTCCCTCACTCGAGAACAAGACCCCGAGATACTTGAACTCCTTCACTTGGGGTAAGGACTCATTCCCTACTTGAAGTGGACAGTCCATCGGTTTCCTGCTGAGAACCATGGCCTCAGATTTGGAGGTGCTGATCCTCATCCCAGCCGCTTCACACTCGGTTGCGAACCGATCCAGTGAGTGCTGAAGGTCGCAGACCGATGAAGCCATTAGAACCACATCATCTGCAAAAAGCAGTGGTGCAATCCTTAGTCCATCGAACTGCAGACCCCCTCCCCCACGACTACGCCTCGAAATCTGATCCATGTATATTACAAACAGGATTGGTGACAAAGCGCAGCCCTGGCGGAGGCCAACCCTCACCGGAAATGGGTCCGACTTACTGCCGAGGACCCGGACACAGCTCTCGCTTTGGGAGTACAGAGATTGGATGGCCCTGAGTAGAGACCCCCTCACCCCATACTCCCGCAGCACCTCCCACAGTAACTCCCTGGGAACTCGGTCATACGCCTTCTCCAAGTCTACAAAACACATGTAGACCGGATAAGCGTACTCCCAGGCCCCCTCCAGGATCCTTGCGAGAGTAAAAAGCTGATCCGTCGTTCCACGACCAGGACGGAATCCGCATTGTTCCTCCTCAATCTGAGGTTCGACAATCGGCCTGACCCTCCTTTCGAGTACCTTAGAGTAAACTTTCCCGGGGAGGCTGAGTAGTGTGATGCCTCTGTAATTGGCACACACCCTCTGATCCCCCTTTTTAAAAAGGGGAACCACCACCCCGGTCTGCCACTCCTTCGGTACTGTTTCCGACTTCCACGCAACGTTGATGAGACGTGTCAACCATGACAGTCCCTCAACACCCAGAGCCTTCAGCATTTCCGGGCGGATCTCATCCACCCCCGGGGCTTTGCCACTGTGGAGTTGTTTGACGACCTCAGTGACCTCCCCCCGGGAGATTGGTGTTGATCCCCCGTCATACTCCAGCTCTGCCTCTAACATAGAGGGCGGAGTTGTCGGGTTCAGGAGTTCCTCAAAGTGTTCCTTCCAATGCCCTAACACTCCATCAGTTGAGGTCAACAACGTCCCATCCTTACTGTACACAGCTTGGATGGTTCCCTGCTTCCCCCTCCTGAGGTGTCGGACAGTTTTCCAGAACAACTTTGGTGCCGCCCGAAAGTCCTTCTCCATGTCTTCTCCGAACTTCTCCCACACCCGCTGCTTTGCCCCGGCCACGGATGAGGCTGCTGCCCTTCGGGCCTGTCGGTACCTTGCAACTGCCTCGGGAGTCCCCCGGGATAACAAATCCCTGAAGGCCTCCTTCTTCAGTCGGACGGCTTCCCTGACCACCGGTGTCCACCAGGAGGTTCAAGGGTTACCGCCCCTTGAGGCACCTAGGACCTTGAGACCACAGCTCCCCGCCGCGGCTTCGGCAATAGAGGCTTCGAACACCGACCACTCTGGTTCAATGTCCCCAACCTCCACAGGAATGCCCGAAAAGCTCCGCCGGAGGTGTGAGTTGAAGGCCTCCTGAACTTGGGCCTCCTCCAGACGTTCCCAGTTCACCCGAACTACACGTTTGGGCTTACCAGGTCTATCCAGAGGCTTCCCCCGCCACTCGACCCAACTCACCACCAGATGGTGATCAGTTGACAACTCCGCCCCTCTCTTTACCCGAGTGTCCAAAACATACGGCCTCAGGTCCGATGATACGATAACGAAATCGATCATGGACCTTCTGCCTAGGGTGCTCTGGTACCACGTACACTTATGAGCATCCTTATGTTCGAACATGGTGTTTGTTATGGCCAATCCATGACTAGCACAGAAGTCCAGTAACAAACCACCACTCCGGTTCAGATCAGGGGGGCCGTTCCTCCCAATCACGCCCCTCCAAGTGTCTCCATCATTGCCCACATGTGCGTTGAAGTCTCCCAGCAAGATTAAAGAGTCCCCTTCAGGAGCCCCATACAGGACTCTTTCCAGGGTCTCCAAGAAGGCCGTATACTCTGAACTGCTGTTGGGTGCATAAGCACACACAACAGTCAGAGTTTTCCCCCCCATAACCCGCAGGCGTAGGGAGGCGACCGTGGCAAGCCCGGCCACCAGACGCTCGCCGACGAGTCCTCCTTCTGGGCCTGGCTCCAGAAGGGGACCCCGGGCTTCCTCCGGGCCGGGTATCCTCACTTCTTGTGTCGTCTTTCATGAGGTCTTTTGAACCAATCTTAGTCTGGCCCCTTGCCTGAGACCAATTTGCCATGGGAGACCCTACCAGGAACACAAGGTTCCAGACAACACAGCCCCCAGGTTCATCAGGGCACACAAACCTCTCTACCACGGTAAGGTGCTGGTTCTTCAGAGAGGCCTGCTGGTGTGGCACTTCCACTGTGAGAACAGCTATCACACACATGTTAGCCTTTGCAGACCATTTACATCAGGGGTGTCCAAACTACGGCCCGGGGGCCAAATGCGGCCCGCGGACCATTTTGAATCGGCCCTCAGCAAATTTAAAAAAAGCATAATGACTTAAGTAAAATAAACTTCTGTCTTATATTCTACTTCTTAAATATATATGTTCAAATAGATAACACAGTAGTATTCATGTGTTAATGAGACCACTTTTCAAATAAATTCAGTCCATTAAAGTTGAAAACATGTTCTAACAAATCTTAGTTGATAAAAAAAATCCCAATAAATCGTTTCCATAACAACCTTGAAATCCACCCTTCATATTTCCTCTTATTATAATCAATCTGAAGCTTCTGTTTTAAGGAATGGGCTTCTAACACAATAAATGAAACCCTCTGGAGAGCTGTGTTGTAGTCTTTTTGTTTTCCTAAAGCATTTTCAAGTATCAAGAATAATGTATTGATTGATTTTTCTAACTTATAACTGAACTTATGACGCAATATAACTCACCTCACTTCAGCGGCCCCTTCGTATCTTTTTCTGTTTGTGGCCCTCAGTGAAAACAGTTTGGACACCCCAGGTTTACATGCACAAAAACCTATAGATAAGATTGGAAGTACTTTATTGATCCCAATTTGGGAAATGTTTGCGTTGCAGCAGCATAAAAAACAAGGCATTGGAGAAATTAAAAGAAATAAACAATCCACAATGTAAACGTCTCAAATAGAAATAAAATAGCATTTAAAGAATTACATGTGGAAATACAAATTCTCAGTAACAAAATATAAGCAAGATATTATATATGCATTAATTGTGCAAGGAATGGATTGTGAAATATTAGATTGAATATGAATGTAAAATGTACAGTGTGATTTTGAGTCCAGTTATCAAGAGAAGCTCTTTTTAAGAATAAAAGACAGCACAGATGAATACAATTAAAGATAAAATCAAAGATAACATTTAAATTTTATACAGTAACTTTAAAATAAGAAATGATTAAAAATGAACATTATACATATTTGGGTCGTTTAATACATATTAGATATATTTACATGTATGTGTGTCGGTAAAAAGTTATTGTGAAAACAGTGTGTGTTTTATGGCTTTACAACCAGGGCTTAACCATGTACTGTAACACACACAAAAGTACATGTATTGTATATCAAATCTGCTCTATTTGCACAATAACTTTGACTTGTATACATACATGTCAATATATTTAACAATCCAGACTCAAATATGTATATATGTTTAATTCAATTAATTAATTTCTTGTTTTAACAGCTACTTTCCTGTATATACTTTTAATTGTATCTATCATTTTATTAATCTTGTGGGAATCTGTACTGTACTTTCGCTCTCACTCTGTTGCTACTTAAACTCCTCAATTTCCCCACGGCGATTAATTAAGATCCATCTTATCTTATCTTATCTTATCTTATCTTATTACGCACTACAGGAAAGAGAAACCCCAAAAAGCAGTAAAGGGCCGCTTCAGTTCTTTCCAGAATAATATTTGTGTAGTTGCTGTGTGACTTTGACAATATTTTCCTATTCAAATGTGATGATTTGGGCATTGAAGGATTGATATCCAGCATCGTGATTAACAGTGTAATCCTCCGTCTCTTCAGTACGCAGAGACGTCCGAGTGCAGAAGATTTTTATCGGCTCCATGGGGATCGATAACCAGCCGTTTGTCGCCGAGTACGAAGATCCAGAAAACCCCAAATTCACTCACCTGGCGTCTCTGGTCAGGAAGCAGGTGAGACTGAAGATCATCTGCTCAAGAACCGTGTTCAAGCAAGGGACTACTTTACGTACCATTTTATGATACATATACTTCTACGCCACTCCATTTGAAGGCACATTGTGTACTTTACACTTCCTACATGTATTTAACACTCCTTTGTTAATAAAAACACATGACATGCTTACAGTATTTGATATAAGGCATTACTGCACTACTAATACAGACAAACTACAATGTTAAAATTATAAGAACGTTTTTAATTAATGTATTTTATAATAAAGTTATACTGTGAAAGAGCCAGTCTGCATACCGAGTACTTTTACTTTTGATACCTGGAGTACATTATGCGGATAATACTTTTGCTTAAGTAACATTTTGTATTCAGAACTTAGACTTGTACTTATGGCTGTGCGATTATGGCAAAAATCATTATCACGATTATTAAAAACGATTATCCATTTACTTTGAAAACATCCATTTATTGAAAAAAAAAGAAAGTGAACCGTATGTTTTTAAGAGTTGATTACCCTGAACTTTAAGTATAATTCAACTGAAAAAACAATTAAAAAAAATAATCATTTTATTTCGATTACATTGCTTTCGTAATCGTTGTTAAAATACGATTAATTGCACAGCCCTACTTGTACTGCAGTATTTTAAGATTTCAGAACTTCTTCCATCACAGGATTGTAGTATTTTTACAGTACTGATACTTTCTGTATTTGTTGATTTAATGATCAACTGGACGGATATGATAATGTTTTTATTTTTTTTTCTGTGCCTTCTGTCTTTCAGCTGAAACTGATTTACTCCAAAAACTCTGTGCTGGCCAAACACTTCAAAGGCGCCTCAGTGCAGGCCTTCAGGTACCGACCACACACACACTGAGATGTTTAGACTTTACTTAAGGTGAAGTATTTAATTAAAGAGGAACTGAACACTTATCCACTCTCCTGAGTTACTCTCAAACTTGATCAACCGGCATGGATTGATGGGGGGCTATGAGTAGACAAGAGGAGAAGAGATGAGTTTTGAAAAGGGACTGGAATACTGTGAGGGTCTCAGAATAGCGTAGATCTTTGCATCGATATGTTCAAAACGTTTTTTTTGTTTTTTTTGTTATTATAAATAGTGGAAAATTAAATATGAAATATTTCTAGTGTGAACCAAAATATAATACTAAATGTTATACAAGTGATTTTTCTTAACCAAAAGGACAAACATGGCATAAAAACACATATTATTCTAATACAGGTTCTTTTTGACCCACTTATGGAAGAGCGTAGGGTCCAGCCACTCTAAGGGCATCTAAGGGTTAAGTAACTATGTTAATTTGGGCATTTTTCCTGTAATGGAGATTAACACCATAGTATTTTCTACATTGAACACGTTATGAAATTATAGTTAAATACATAAAAAAACACCCAAGAGAATACAAATTATGACAATCAAAATTAGGATAAAACGGGTATTAAATACAATAGTATATCTCAGTGCAGGGTCAGATATGAAAAGTTATTTGATGAAATAAAAGGCAGTGGTAAAAATATTTTTAAGAGTTTTTGCAGGATATGTTTTCTTTAGTAACTCTTCTTGTTGTCTCTGCAGTGAGGGAGACAGCGGCACAGACAGCGTCATGGCGTATTATCAGTCGGAGTTCGATGTTCACGTCAGCCAGCAGGCGGCGCTGGACGAGGCCATCGAGTCTCAGCAGGCGACGGCCTCGCGTCACTCAGGACGACACGGACGAATCCTGCTGAAACCTGCCGACGCTCTGAACGTCCACAACGTCGTGTCCCGAGGTCTGAATCCATCCCAATGCTTATATCGAATATATAATAATTCAAAGTCGACTTTATTATGTATTTATCTAACAGGGACAGTGCACATTAATTAAAATCCAAGAGTATATAACTTATATATAAATCACTAATATTAATGTTTGATCTTTCTGTCCACAGCTATAGACCCACGCTTGAACAGGAACTCTTTATTGGGTGAGTTTGGTGGTGTTTATTTTTTATTTCTCATATGAATATCCTTAAAATTATTTTGACACATAAAACCAAATATGTATTGGTTCTTTTTAGTTTTTTTATTAGTTGCCTTATTGATAATCAATTACATTTATAGTGAAATGTTTACAAAATATGTGTCTAATTTTTCGTTTTCTTATGTACTTCTAGTAATTTAATTACATGTTTTAAAGACATTTGTTTGTGCTTTTGGTTGTTCATGTTGTGTATTAATCAATCAAAATGTGATCACAAAAAAAAAAAGTTGATTGTAGTAACATAACATTTCCCCTGTTTATTTTCCAGTGAAAAAGTCGTTTGATGTCCACGTCAAAGAGCCCGGTGTGGTTCAGTCTCCGGGGTTTCCGGACTCTTCCTACCCTCCGAACGTGTTCCTGCAGTGGAGGCTCCGGGCCGACCCAAAGCACCGCATCTGGCTGGACTTCCACACCCTGATCCTGGAGGACGACTGCCAGCAGGACTTCATCCAGATCTACGACTCCCTCGCCCCCATCGAGCCCCGCGTCCTCACTGAGTGAGAACCGCATACTTTAACAACTTCTCCAGCAAATCGTAAAAATATTCGTTGATAACCAAATGAAGAGGGGAAATATATGTCTCACAGAGGACATATTCTGCTGATGTTCAGGTGTATATCAGTATGTAGTGTCTCTACTTTAAAGAGTCCTCTCCTGCTGATGTTCAGGTGTATATCAGTATGTAGTGTCTCTACTTTAAAGAGTCCTCTCCTGCTGATGTTCAGGTGTATATCACTATGTAGTGTCTATACTTTAAAGAGTCCTCTCCTGCTGATGTTCAGGTGTATATCAGTATGTAGTGTCTCTACTTTAAAGAGTCCTCTCCTGCTGATGTTCAGGTGTATATCAGTATGTAGTGTCTCTACTTTAAAGAGTCCTCTCCTGCTGATGTTCAGGTGTATATCAGTATGTAGTGTCTCTACTTTAAAGAGTCCTCTCCTGCTGATGTTCAGGTGTATATCAGTATGTAGCGTCTCTTTAAAGAGTCCTCTCCTGCTGATGTTCAGGTGTATATCAGTATGTAGTGTCTCTACTTTAAAGAGTCCTCTCCTGCTGATGTTCAGGTGTATATCAGTATGTAGTGTCTCTACTTTAAAGAGTCCTCTCCTGCTGATGTTCAGGTGTATATCAGTATGTAGTGCCTCTACTTTAAAGAGTCCTCTCCTGCTGATGTTCAGGTGTATATCAGTATGTAGTGTCTCTACTTTAAAGAGTCCTCTCCTGCTGATGTTCAGGTGTATATCAGTATGTAGTGTCTCTACTTTAAAGAGTCCTCTCCTGCTGATGTCCAGGTGTATATCAGTATGTAGTGACTCTACTTTAAAGAGTCCTCTCCTGCTGATGTTCAGGTGTATATCAGTATGTAGTGTCTCTTTAAAGAGTCCTCTCCTGCTGATGTTCAGGTGTATATCACTATGTAGTGTCTATACTTTAAAGAGTCCTCTCCTGCTGATGTTCAGGTGTATATCAGTATATTGTCTCTACTTTAAAGAGTCCTCTCCTGCTGATGTTCAGGTGTATATCAGTATGTAGTGTCTCTACTTTAAAGAGTCCTCTCCTGCTGATGTTCAGGTGTATATCAGTATGTAGTGTCTCTACTTTAAAGAGTCCTCTCCTGCTGATGTTCAGGTGTATATCAGTATGTAGTGTCTCTACTTTAAAGAGTCCTCTCCTGCTGATGTTCAGGTGTATATCAGTATGTAGTGACTCTACTTTAAAGAGTCCTCTCCTGCTGATGTTCAGGTGTATATCAGTATGTAGTGTCTCTACTTTAAAGAGTCCTCTCCTGCTGATGTTCAGGTGTATATCAGTATGTAGTGTCTCTACTTTAAAGAGTCCTCTCCTGCTGATGTTCAGGTGTATATCAGTATGTAGTGTCTCTACTTTAAAGAGTCCTCTCCTGCTGATGTTCAGGTGTATATCAGTATGTAGTGACTCTACTTTAAAGAGTCCTCTCCTGCTGATGTTCAGGTGTATATCAGTATGTAGTGTCTCTACTTTAAAGAGTCCTCTCCTGCTGATGTTCAGGTGTATATCAGTATGTAGTGACTCTACTTTAAAGAGTCCTCTCCTGCTGATGTTCAGGTGTATATCAGTATGTAGTGTCTCTACTTTAAAGAGTCCTCTCCTGTTTGTTTGTTTGTTTGTTTGTTTGTTTGTTTGTAGCCTTTATTTAACCAGGCGAAGCCCCTTGAGATCAAAAGATCTCTTTTTCAAGGGTGACCTGCAGGACATTAGTTACACATGTAACATAAAAACAACAGAACAACAATAAGGATGACAAACAACATAATGTACAGGGTACAGTTTACAAACTCTATTTACAGAGACAGGTACCATGTGTATCAAACAGCATGTCACCCAGCCGAGTTTTAAAATGATGCAGGGGAACCAAAGTGCTCAGTTTTAAACATGTTTGCAGACTGTTCCAATTTAGTGGAGCTGCACAACTAAAAGCTTTCTTCCCTAAGACAGTCCTAGCACTTGGTACATTTAATAAAACAACATCATGAGATCTCAGGCAATATGTACTTTCAATTCGTCCAGAGATCAGAGAGCAGATATAAAAAGGTAGTTTACCCAACATGGCTTTGTAAATGAACATGTACCAATGACTGAGCCTCCGTACAGTTAGTGAAGGCAGACCTGCTTTGGCATACAGGGTGCAGTGATGAGTAAGTGCTTTACAGTTAGTAACAAATCTCAGGGCACTGTAATAGGTGGCATCTAACTTGCTCAGGCAATAGGCAGGTGCATTCATATAGATCAAATCACCATAGTCCAGCACAGGTAAAAAGGTCACAGAGCCTTTTCCTGGCCTCAAAAGAGAAACAGGACTTGTTTCTGAAAAAGAAACCTAGCCTAATCCTCAGCTTTTTAAGCAGGTTATTGACATGAAGTTTAAAAGTAAGACAATCATCAAGCCAGATACCTAGGTATTTATAACTGGTAACCACTTCAAGTACTTGTCCTTGCATAGTAACAATATCCAAAACAGGCTCTGGTGTCTTTTTAGCTTTTGAAAATAGCATTACCTTGGTTTTATCAACATTTAAAATAAGCTTAAGTTCAGAGAGCTGAGTCTGAATAATGTTAAAAACAGCCTGTAATTTAACACCAGCCTCCTGAATGGAGGGACCTGCACAATACATCACGGTATCATCCGCATAAAAATGTAAAGTAGCTTCATCCACATTTTCACCTAAACTGTTGATATATATGGAGAATAAAAGTGGACCTAAAACAGAACCTTGAGGAACACCATTAGCAATGTTTAACCACTCAGAAGACAGCCCATCAAAATGAACACATTGGGACCTTTCAGAGAGGTGGTTCACAAACCACCCCACTGCATGGCTGGACATGCCGATACTGAGTAGCCTCTGCTTTAAGATGCGATGATCGACGGTATCAAACGCTTTGGAAAGGTCAATAAATAGAGATGCACAACTCTGCTTATTGTCTAAAATACTTGTAATGTCATTCACCACTTTCATTGTGGCAGTGATGGTGCTATGTTGTTTTCTGAAGCCTGACTGATGTTTAGACAGGATGTCATTTTTACATAAAAACTCCTTTACCTGTTCACTCACTAGGCGTTCGAGCACCTTCGCCAGAACTGACAACTTAGAGATTGGCCTATAGTTATTTAAAATAGTTGCCTCTCCTCCTTTTAGCAAAGGCAGGACATAAGCTGACTTCCATACTTTTGGAATTGCATTTGTGCTGAGGGAGAGGTTAAAAAGAATAGTAAGAGGAAGAGCAATCAAATCTGCAGCTATCTTTAAAAAGAAAGGTTCTACGTTGTCTGGGCCAGCCAGTTTCTTAGGATCTAGCTTAGATAAGGCTTCATGAACAACATTGACAGTAAAAGGAGTAAAACTGAAAGGGTCCTGCTGATGTTCAGGTGTATATCAGTATGTAGTGTCTCTACTTTAAAGAGTCCTCTTCTGCTGATGTTCAGGTGTATATCAGTATGTAGTGTCTCTACTTTAAAGAGTCCTCTCCTGCTGATGTTCAGGTGTATATCAGTATGTAGTGTCTCTACTTTAAAGAGTCCTCTTCTGCTGATGTTCAGGTGTATATCAGTATGTACTATGTAGTGTCTCTACATGTCTCCATGCTTTAATGTTCAAAAAGCTCTTTATTTGTCTCATACTGCCTGTGCTGCAGCACCTCTTTTCACCCTCTGTCTGAAACCAGAGCCCAGTCTGCTCTGATTGGTTAGCTGGCCGGCTCTGATGTGATTCCTTAACTATCTTAATCATCACATTAAATGTGTTGAAGTGCTAGCCAATAGAAAAGCGAGTGTGATTAACCTCCTGGTGTCCACTCTCTCCTCAGACAGTGTGGATATCCTCACGGCTCTCTCTCCTTCGTCTCCTCTGGAAACGTCCTCCTGCTGACGCTGATCACCAGCGAGGAGAAACACTTCCCTGGATTCAGAGCCAACTACTCCCAGATCCCTCTCACTGAGCAAGGTACGACAGGAAGTACAAACACTGCAGTCATATTGTACATCACTGGTCCACTGAAACACATTATATTCACACATCTAAACAAAAAATAGACTTCTAATATTGTTTGATTCCTTAATTTGCTCTAAAGATGAATTCCTCCCATAACGTCATTTCTGTAAAACCTTCAGTGATGACATCTCTTACTATAGCCTGAGCAAGCAGTTGATTGACAGAAAAACAACTATTTATAAATGGTACATTGTGAATACAATGTGAATACAAGTAATGTTGCAATGCTTCTTTGTGCTGCATGTGTGATACTCTTAATATCTTTTGGGATTTAAGACACTATGGAAAGCAGGATGTTTGCATCACGGATTAATTGTGGCTGTTAACATTCACTAGCAATTTGTCTAATAGTTATTTTTTTGCTTGCATAAAATTACCTGAAAGGATTATTAATTATTACAATTAGATAACATGGTAATTGCCTTAGTTGTTATGGAGTGTTAACTCTTCTTAACGCCTGTTAGAAAAATATCCCTCGTCACCTTCTTGAGCTTCAACCTCAGGATCCATGTGTTTCTGATCCTCTCTAGAATGGAAGTAGTCATCACATATGAGCATCAACTAGTTCCTGAACAGTGTCCTTCACATGCTGATATCCAAGAGGGAGTTACACGGTCACAAGATGGAGGAATAGATATGACTTTTTCTCAAAATTCAGACTTTTTCTCAAAATCTGAAAATTCTGACTTTTTCTCAAAATCTGAAAATTCTGACTTTTTCCTCAAAATTCTGACTTTTTCTCAAAATTCTGACTTTTTCACAAAAATATGACTTTTTTACAAAAATCTCAAAAGTCTGACTTTTTCTCCAAAATATGACTTTCTCTCAAAAATCTCAAAAGTCTGACTTTTTCGCAAAAATCTGAATTTTTCTCAAAAATCGGACTTTCTGAATACTTAACATTTTTAATAATCACTGTTCCCCGGCTTGAGCTTCAATCTCAGGATCCATGTATCTGTGATCCTCTCCAGAATGGAAGTAGTCATCACATACAGAGCATCAACTAGTTCCTGAACAGTGTCCTTCACATGCTGATATCCAAGAGAGGGAGTTACACAGTCACAAGATGGAGGAATAGAAAGCAGTATTCAATGTTTACTTCAGATTAGCTCCACGTCAGAAATGAGCATGCTTGATGTCTCTCTCCATAGAGGCTGAATCATCATGTTAATCACATAGCTATCATATGCCTCAAACAGTCCTGATGCTCTTCTAGGTAATCACACATCCTGTCATGTTCACAGCTACAGTTGGGATACCTTTGTTATCACGTTACTCTCATGTTGGAAGAGGACATTCAGTATTTTCCCAACAACACCTGAGGCAATTTATCTCCATCCATGATCGCTGTATCATCAGTGAGGTATCAGTGTGACCTCAAACCTCTGTGCCGTTAGTTGTGATGTTATAGAAGTTGATTCTCCTTAGTTTAAGTTTCCTAAATGTCTAACATATCAGTGTTTATTTCAGTGTGTGGAGGAGCACTGACTGCAGACAGAGGCTCCTTCTCCTCGCCGTTCTTCCCCTCCAACTATCCTCCAAAAACCACGTGTGTGTGGACCATCGAGGTGAGGAACCATTTTAATTGGTTTATTAAGAATGAAAGTCTTGTTATTGTTCCCTACAGGCTCCCATTAACTCTATTGTCTCTTTTCAGGCTCCAAAGGAGAAGTTTTTGAAGGTTCAGTTCAACAAGTTCTTCCTGGGGAAATACAGCAGTCAGTGCCAAAATGATTATGTGGAGGTCAACGGTCAGAGGTCGGCATTTTGTCTCTCTTCATATTTCCTCTCTTTCAACGCTGGCTCTTAATGAAGGTGTCCAACCTTGAAATTACTTTTTTAAAAACCACTTCTTTGAGGATTGCAATTATGTGATTATATTCCCGTTTGATTACATGTTTCAGTTTTACTCTCTGTGTTCAGTTTAGTTTTTTAATTTAATTTAATTCTCTGTGGGTTTGGAATTCTGTTTGTATTGGTAAGTACTTAATGACGTCTATATACTGTACGGTACTATGTAAAACAAATGTATTATTGTTGTTTCTATTACCTTATAAGTCAATATACTGTACACCTCTTTAAAGAAGCGAGCGTTTTGAATCTAAATTGTGTTGTTGTGTCTGTTTGGTGTAGATTGTGTGGCAGTAAACCGAAGAGCACCGTGGTCACCAGCCGGAAAAATAAGATGACGATCACATTTAAATCAGACTCGTCTTACGTAGACCAGGGTTTCATCGCAGAGTACGAAGCATTCATCCCGAATAACCGTAAGACTGATTTAATTTTCATTTTGAAATGCCACTTTGTCATGCTAACCTTCAGTTTTTAGATTGATAATCTTCTTTTTGGTTGTCGTTGATCAGCGTGTCCGGGGAGGTTTCAGTGCACCAACAATCTCTGCATCAACAGCACGCTGCAGTGCGACGGCTGGAACGACTGCGGAGACGGCAGCGACGAGGACGACTGCAGTGAGTCCCAAACACACTGCCTGACGAGTGGCTTTATTTTCACACAAGATATACAAAAAATTTAACTGGATGGATCGTTTTCAGACAGAACATTAATCTACAAAATCCCAGATCCTACTGCTGTAAATACTGACTACAGCATCAACTGTGCATTAATAGGCTGCTGGAAGTAGTCCTAAAGATATGCACTATTTCCTCCTGTCACCAGCTGTTTAAGAAAGCTTTTATTTTCTGTTATGACACTATTGCTGCGTTCACACGCTCCTCAGATGGTCCCAAGTCTTTCTTCTGACTTTGGTGTTTTCATGATCTTCAGGTCGTAAAGTTGAAACAGCATGGACTCTACAAAGAGGATGTGTGTTGCTCTTTATTTCTTGAAGTGTTGCTAGCTTGTTCCACTATTGGTTATCCTTCTAAGTTGTTAATTGTACATTCAAGCCCCTTAAATGTTGCTTTACCTCAGGTTTGGAGGATTAACGCTAATAAATAACTTCTCTAACCCTATTCACATCCCTCTACGACGTAACACAACTAACGATTTGTACCTACGCTTACCGTATAGTAATATGCAATACTTAAACTATTTGAAGGTCTCCTTGCATCAATCCCACATTTACTTGCCTCCGCCATAATATAATGCCAATTTGGTAAGTAGTGCACCAATATTTTTGCAGACTTTCCAAGTTGTTGTTTTCGATTTATTTGAGAGAGCGTTTATGGAACTTTTAACGTCTGAAGTAGTAACCAATGGGCTCCAAGCTGAGAGCCACAAACAGGAAGTTAGAAAATATTGAAAGACACACTAACACATGACCTGTTTTTCTTTCAGAGTGTGAGGCGGTTCAGATGAAGTGTAAAAACGGCCGCTGCAAACCCAAGTTCTGGGAGTGTGACGGGTTTGACGACTGTGGGGACAGCACTGATGAGGAGAACTGTGGTGGGTTACTTTTTATTTTAATTTTCCAGAACATTTTATATTGTTTTGTTTATAATATTTGTAATTACATTTTTAATTGTTAGTCTACCTACCTACCTACCTACCTACCTACCTACCTACCTACCTACCTACCTACCTACCTACCTACCTACCTACCTACCTACCTACCTACCTACCTACCTACCTACCTACCTACCTACCTACCTACCTACTACCTACCTACCTACCTACCTACCTACCTACCTACCTACCTACCTACCTACCTACCTACCTACCTACCTACCTACCACACACCCACACACACACACACCCACCCACCCACCCACACACACACACACACACACACACACACACACACACACACAAGCATGTCCACAGAAGCATGTCCACAGAAAGAATACATTATGAATATGTCTCTTAATAATGCAGATAGGGTTTAAAAATATCTGAATGTTAGAAATTGAGTATCACACTGTTTGATATGTTCCTTTTAGTGAAATGCAAACCAGGAGAGTTTTCCTGCAGAAACAACCGCTGCATCCCGGAGAACTTAAAATGTAACGGAAAGGATGACTGCACAGACGGATCAGATGAGTCCAAGTGTGAGAAATGTGAGACAAACAACACTTTTTACTCGAGTCAATTCTGTTTAGGCTTGTCACCACTAGCTTAGCTTAGTTTAGCTTAAGTGCTTGGTATTAAACTTTGCATAAAGAAGCCTAGCTTGCAGTGTTTAGCTTAATCGTAGTTAGGGGTGTAACGGTTCACAAAATTCACGGTTCGGTATGTACCTCGGTTTGGGGGTCACGGTTCGGTACGGGTTCGGTACAACAAGAAAAAGCAAAAAAAAGTCCCAAATGCATAATTCCAGGTTTGTTGTTTATTTATTTTGAACAGTAATGCAAATTTCAGTTTACAAATAAGGAAGTCTAACATTTTGAATAATTAACTTTATTACACAGTTAAAAAAAAACCACACACACAGTACCACACACACTCAGATGGCCATATTATCTATTATGGGTTGAAACAAAAAGGTTCAATAAGCTGTAAAACTAAAAAGAATGTCTTGAAAATATTACAAAATAAATAATAAGATCAACTTTCAATCACAATCAATAAAAGCCGGGGTCCTCTACAGTGGTTCTCAAACGTTTTTCAATAATGTAAAGAGGTACCGTACAGCGCTGCACCATCAGAGTCTGATTTATTAAAACAACAATATTGTAACTGAGAAACACTTAAATGCTACATTTCAAATGTTTACAATCCATCACTAAATTCATAGAAACCAATTTTAACATCATGCAATAACACTAAGACGACATTAGTTGCATTGAACTTATCTTTTTAATAAGTTGTACTTACAATGTAGTGAAACATGTGCTTGAGCTTCACTGAGGACCTTTGTTATTCTGACAGGGAGGCAAACTGCAGTTATTACACTTCGCGTTTTGAAATATGTACAACTCAAATAAATCAAAACAACTGTACATTAATTAAATACATTTGACATTTAGCTTGAGCTGGCTTTAATACTTTCTTTATGGTATTCAAATTGGGCTCAAGTAGAATCTTTACCCATGTATTTAGCTAGTTCTAAAAGAATAATCAACATTAAAAAAGAAAAAAAGAAAAAGCACTATAACACCTATCAGCGGACACCAACAGGCAGGAACAGGGAGACAGAGCACAGCACCCAAGGTTGTAGGCTACTTTGAAAAATATAAAATATAAATCATATACTGGTTTGTTTACCACATCATTCCATATTATGTTTTTTCATAGTTGTGATGTCTTCGGTATTAATCTACAATGTAAAAAACAATGTGTGTGTGTGTTGCATGCTTTTTTTACTTCTTGCAACACAATTATTTCTCAATGTTCTTCCAATGAAACTGTCACCCTGTCAGGGTATGTGACTTCCACAGAACTGATACAAACACTCACACCCATAAACACGCATGAATTCAGTATCATTTTCCTTGGAATATGACTCCTCCCAGGCAGCGTTTCCGCCAGGTGGGCGTCTTGCCGTGATTTAACGGCCTTATTCAGCTCGGGACGCCCTGAACTCGAGCCGAGGGTGTCTACAAATATTAATAATTCGAGAGAAGATCGAGAGTTTTTATCGCTTGAAATTACGAAAAGGAAAAATGACAAGGACATCTCTCTGTTGGAAGGGCAAAGGAGTCTGGTGGGATTATTTTCGGAGTATTGAAGATCGTTTCCCCGACATCGGCGGTGCCTGCTACAGGACAACACGGAACATGCGCAATTTGGATGTGATGAGCGGTGCTAGCGGAGCACGCGCGTGAGCTGCGAGCACCAGAGCCTCGCAGCGGCGAAACTGAGGCTCCGTGGTAAACTGTGCTAACATGAAGAGCCGTTTGGGAGCCAGAAGAGCTGGCGCTTTAAGAGAGCCGAGCCAAATGATCCGGCTCACTAACGTAAAAAGACAGTATCTATAGGCGCGTTCACACCGGAGTACTTTTCCCGTTTAGTTACGTTAGTACCTCTTATTTTGCGTTCACACCAAAAATAGTACTTAGTGCCGGGAAGTTTTACCCCCATTTTTAGTGCCTGCTATACCTCATTCACACCAACGCAACTCCGGTTCAAGCTCCGTGCTAGAGCTTTTCAGGTTCAGAACCAGTTCTTCGGTTTAGCTCTGGCTCTTTTCACACCGCCCAGAGTCCGACTGGTAATGCGTCGTTGCGTCATCGTTTGCGTCATGACGTAACCGTTTGCGTGCCTGCTTCATAAAGCCAAACCGTGCGGATGAAATCAGTTGCATTCATTTCTTATGGCTCTATCTGCAGCTTTTCCGGAGTCATTTCTGTGGTTTAGTTATATTCTTATAAAAAAGTGTACTCGTGTCAATAAAGGTTTTTTTTTAAAACACAACTGCTTCCGAGGTCGGTCTTATTTCTTAAGGTGGACTGAACCATGAGTGTGGAGTAACGTTGTATCTTTCATTTAAATGAGCTGTAACCTTCACCCAGGTATGTAACAGCTGTTCTCAAATGAACACGTTAAGTAAAGTTTAATATTTATAGTTTTATAGATTTATAATGAGAGGTGATCAACGTGAATGCTCAGGTTCCACCTTAACACGCAGACACGTTGCTTCACCATGAGCAGAAACCTACAGTCTATGGCTGAAACTCTGAAACTCCTGTTAAGTTTCTCCATCGTTGTGTACAAACTGGATACAACGCAGGCTTTTTGTTGTTGTTCAGGAGTTGATCTGTCTCTGCCCCTGCCTCGACGTAAGCGTGACGTATGTGGTGCTTTTGCTCTGGCCGGACAATTTTTTGGTGCTTGAAACGAACCGGATTCCGGAGCTAAGAGGCTGCTCCGCTGCGGTGTGAAGAGGAAAACCCGGTGCTTTTCAAGCTCCAGCTCCGAACCGGCTCTGAAACACCGTTGGTGTGAATGAGGTACTAGAGAGGTGGTACCATCCTGGGGAGAAAAAAGTACCAATTTCTATTGGCTGGGCGAATTGCAAACCACGCCCTGTAAAAAAAAAAAAAAAAAGATTGAAGCATTATTAGCATTAGCATTAACCCCGCGCACCAACGGAGAGAGACTAACTTATGGCAACACAAAAAAAACATGGGAGCGGTGGAGATGTCGGCGTTATGACGATTTACTCGGAAGGCTTCAGTAGAAGCTGCTGGGAGTCCCAGCAGCTTCTACTGAAGCCAGTCCCCAACTCCAGGGACTTCCGGCCGGGGACTTCGGGTGGCAGTATACGCCGTGAAGTGGTTTGCGGCCTGCCAGTAAACCCAGAGCAGACGTCAGCGGCTTCATTTGCGTAATCTTCCCTCAGGGAATTTATTCCGGTGTGAACGCGATCTGTATTTATTGCCATGGGGGTGTTGTGTGAAATTATGCACCCCCGTCGTGAAATGCACCCCCTGGCCTGCCGTAAAAAGCGCCCCCCAAAAAAATATGCTTCTATTAATCCCACCCTCAAGCGCTTTGGAGGGTATAGTTGTAGGACTAGTACCAATAAATTGAGCAAGTTTCATGTATGTGACACGTGTATTGTCAGAGATAGCAAGGGGTGCATATCGTGGCAACCAGGCTGTTCATAAAAAGCACCCCCCAAAATAAAATAAATGATATTAATCTCAACCTCAATGTACACGCCCCGGATTCCTATGACGAAAATGATAGAATGTAGCCAGTTGTTATGTTTCAAGTTATACTGCAACACCGGCACCTCGTCCGATCCACTCGCACTCCATGTTATTCCACAGTCCACAGGGAACCCGAAATGTTCCCACATAGGCCTATCTGATTTAAAAGAAGCAGGTGGGTCTTCTAGCTCCTTTGTGTTATCTGAACTCACAATACTAACTTTTCTTCTTCAAGTGTTTTGTACGTATTGTTGCTTTTTCTTCTTCTTCATTTGTTGTTTAAGGGCGGCTGGCAAACAGCTTTTAGGCGCAATACCACCCCCTAGATGATATATAGTGTAGTGGATACTGCCCTGAATGACAGACTTTTTTCCCACTCGTAAAAGAAAATGCGTATTCGTCGTGTGACTGCACCGAACCGTGACGTCCGAACCGTGACGGTACGGGACGAATATGGATACCGTTACACCCCTAGTCGTAATTCTTCTACTCTTGCTTTGTCACTTAATCTAATGATAAAACACCACAGTTGAATTTGAGTCAGCATGCACATTTTTACAGACTTTAACAGAGCAGCTAATATTGCTAGCAACCAGTTAGCATGCTGTTTGTAAATACTCAAGTTTATGGAACACAGAGATTAAAGGAGACGAAATAAAGAAGCATGACAGCAAAAGGCAGTAAAGACTCTGAAATGAAGATAGAATGAAAGGATACCATAAAATGGTGTGTTTCTTTCTGTTGTACTGATAGTGTGTGTGTCCTGTGTTCAGCTTTGGTGCTGCAGACGTGTTCAGAGTTCACTTTTCGCTGCAGCAATGGACGCTGCATCAGTAAACTGAACCCGGAGTGTGACGGAAAGACTGACTGTGAGGACGGATCTGACGAGGAAAACTGCGGTATGTTTAACACACACACACACACACACACACACACACACACACACACACACACTAGACCATGCACTAAATTAGCTAACTGTTAATGTAGGAGTGGTGCAGGAATGATTCCAAAAACCTAGAAATCAGTTAGCATTTTAGTCCTTGTCTGGAGGTCAATGGTTAGGCCTACCTGAATGTGTTTTTGGTCGATGAAATAAGGTCTGTTTTGTTCTATGACATAAAAACAGGTCAGTAAATACCCCATTGGTGAATAAAAAAATGCCGGTTGCTAACCAAACATCATCAGGGCCAACATCACACGCCTTTAGCTTAGCGGTGGTGACGTTTAGTCATGTGACCGTGCTGTAGTTCCTTTATAGCCCAACATTAGCCACCTTTAACTTAGCGGTGGTGACATGAAGTCATGTGACCTTGCTGTAGTTCCTTTATAACCCATAATTAGCCGCCTTTAGCTTAGCGGTGGAGACGTTTAGTCATGTGACCATGCTGTAGTTCCTTTATAGCCCAAAATTAGCTGGTTTTAGCTTAGCGGTGGTGACGTGAAGTCATGTGACCGTGCTGTAGTTCCTTTATAGCCCAACATTAGCCGCCTTTAGCTTAGCGGTGGTGACATGAAGTCATGTGACCTTGCTGTAGTTCCTTTATAGCCCAACATTAGCCGCCTTTAGCTTAGTGGTGGAGACGTTTAGTCATGTGACCGTGCTGTAGTTCCTTTATAGCCCAACATTAGCTGCTTTTAGCTTAGCGGTGGTGATTTGAAGTCATGTGACTGTGCTGTAGTTCCTTTATAGCCTAACTCTAGCTTTTTACTTCAGAATCATAAAGTGGTGTTAATATGTGGAGATGATTCTGCTGAACAAAACGTGTAAGTATCATAAACGTTTGTTTGACAGAGATTATTAACTGCAATAATCCAAAATCAGAGATATTCCATTCGCTTTTTGTGGAGGGAACCAGGAAGATGCTAACTTCAGGGTCGACCTACAGTAAAACGTCATCACTGCACCACTTTATGTCTTTTATCTGTGTGTTTTTCAGGGTGTGGGACGAGGCCGTACCGCAGCTCTCGCATCGTGGGGGGCCAGGCGTCCCGGGAGGGGGAGTGGCCCTGGCAGGTCAGCCTCCACATCCCGGGGGTGGGTCACGTCTGCGGGGCGTCGGTGCTGAGCAACCGCTGGCTGCTGACCGCCGCACACTGCGTGCAGGACAGCGGAGTCAACAAGTATGAGATACTTGTTCAAGGCATCATTTCTGACATGTTGCGTAATCAATATTGTATTAACAAAAATGAGTTTATTGACTTGAAAATTATCAAATTGTTTCCACTAAGAAAATACAATGACTGGAACTCCGACAACAACAAGTGAATTTAAAATGAAGGCAGTTCTGATAGAGGTCTTCTGTGACTGTCCAAGTCTGTTCACAGTTTCTGTTCCACAAACAAGTCCTTAAACTCTACAGAGCGCACCGTGCTCCTGTTAGTGTTTACTTCCTCTTCTTCTTCTTCTGGTGATTTATCTGACGTCTAACAATCCGTCTTTTAACCTATTCTTGATTCTCCTTATGAGCGGTGTGTTATAGAGTATTAACAACCTCTGAAATTTCCGAAACTGACCAATCAGAATCGAGTATTCAACTAAGTTGTGTAATAAATATATATAAGACATATAACAATTAAGAAATACAAAAATAAAATAGTGCAAAGAATGTTGCAAGACCTACGTGCAAGTTGTGTAGGGGAAGTATAAGATGAGTTAAAGATAAATTGTTAAAATGAAATGCTGTACAGGAAAATTAAATACTGCTCATTATAATAATAGGTAAATCTGTGCGATGCAAACCAATGAATGGTATGTAGCTAGATTAGCAGAACATATGTTTGTAATTAGCTGTGTGTGTGTGTGTGTGTGTGTGTGTGTGTGTGTGTGTGTGTGTGTGTGTGTGTGTGTGTGTGTGTGTGTGTGTGTGTGTGTGTGTGTGTGTGTGTGTGTGTGTGTGTGTGTGTGTGTGTGTGTGTGTGTGTGTGTGTGTGTGTGTGTGTGTGTGTGTGTGTGTGTGTGTGTGTGTGTGTGTGTGTGTGTGTGTGTGTGTGTGTGTGTGTGTGTGTGTGTGTGTGTGTGTGTGTGTGTGGTCTGGCATTACTATACTTGTGGGGACCTAAATCTGTTTACACAGTCACGTGTGGGGACTCGCCTCCCTTATGGGGACAAATTGGAGGTCCCCATGAGGGGGATCATTAATTTTAGGGTGAAGTCTTGGTTAGGTTTAGGGTTAGGGTTAGGCATGTGTTGGTTATGGTTAAGGTTAGGATAAGTCTCCAGGAAATGCATGTAAGTCAATGTAATGTCCCCTGAAGTGATGTATACGTGGTGTGTGTGTGTGTGTGTGTGTATGAACAGGGGTATGTAAGTGTGTATGAATATTTGTGAAATCCTCCCTGTTTAATTCGAGCCATGACGAAATATGAACTGTGATTCATTGCTTTGTAATGTAATAGCTTTAATTTAACTCTAAATATAATGCTGCTTAGATTTAATTGTTGTCTTTGTTTCTTCTTGTTTTCTTTGTTGTGATTTACCTATGCTATATGTAATCATATGAGTTTATATTCTGAACAAAATGCATCTGTTTGATGAAATTTAGCGGCACTTTCATTTTCTGGTATTAGTCTTCTTGAATTTGTGCAAATGCTTCCTCCATCCGACGTGACCTCTGACCTGTGTTTTGGTGCTGCAGGTACTCTCAGGCGGACCAATGGGAGGCCTTGCTGGGTCTGCATGTTCAGAGTCAGACCAACGAGTGGATGGTGAGGAGGAAACTGAGGCGGATCGTTGCTCACAAGGACTACAACACCTTCACCTACGACAACGACGTGGCTCTGATGGAGCTGGACTCGAACGTCACGCTCAACCAGAATATCTGGCCCATCTGCCTGCCCTCGCCCACATACGACTTCCCAGCAGGCCAAGAGGCGTGGATCACCGGCTGGGGCGCCACCAGAGAGGGAGGTGGGCAAAATCAGGGTGACGACTATAAAGTGGTGCCGGAATGAGTCCTAACAAATGGAAATGAGTCAGCTTTTTAGCAGTTTTAACCAGAAAGTGGCTATATCACTGTTAAACACCTGAACTAAGAACATCCATAACATTCACCTGTTTGCAACTCACGAATGATGTATCAATTGTATATAGACTCTTATGGCGCTACTTCTATTCTACTTTATTGTATTTACTTGCACTATTTTATCTGTTTTATTGTGTTGCACTGTTGGAGGAGCCTGGGACCTAAGATTTGAATCGACATAACTACACTGTAGCTATGTACAAATTACAATAAAAGCCTTGAATCTTGAAAATATATTTCTAACCCCAATGGGCTGATTTTACCAATTTTGGGTCGATCTTTTTGATCCTAAAATCAATTATTCTCAATTTACCTCGAAAAACCACACAAACAATTGTCCAACTCGGCCTAGCAATTTGTTAGCTATTGTCTGCATATGCTAATTATTGAGACTTATGCTAATTGTGCAAATTGCCCAACATATGCAAGTGAGCATCCATACGTTTCTATGTTCTGGGGACCCATACTTTACATTTCTATCATAAAACTTGGGGGTACTCAAAATGTCAGGGTTCACAGTGCTGACTTCCTGTTCCTTAAAACCTAAAGTTTCTACAATGAGTTTTAAGCAGGAAGCAGATCTTCAACAGTAGTCTATCTGATTTTCAATCTAAGATTAATTTGGATGTAAGAGTTGACTCGTTAATTTGTATTCATCCATTTTAAACCTTAGTTTACTCACATGTATGTTTCTTACTTTGGTCATCTTGTCCGTCAGGCGGTGTTGCCCCCATCCTCCAGAAGGCGGAGGTTCGGGTCGTCAACAGCACGGTGTGTAAGACTCTGATGGACGACGAGGTCACCGACAGGATGATCTGTGCCGGGGTCCTCAAAGGAGGCGTGGACGCATGTCAGGTAAAAAAACGCAGAGCAAAATGTCTACCTCCTATATAAGATCATGATTACTAATGCATGCCAGACAAATATTTAGTGTGTCCTTTTCCATACTATATCAAATATCAGGACGTCCTACTGCAGACAGACGCTTTACGAAAGCCAGCTTTTCTGACACCTGATTATTGTGTGGTTTAAACAAGAGTTATTGTACTGTTTCCAGAATAATCCAGGTATTCTACAAAGTATATCTCAGCCTTTTAAGGACCCTAAACGTATTTAAATGTGTCAAAAATATCATTGGGCAAAACACCTAACCCCAAATTGCTCCCGATGGCCAATAGTGTGTGAATGTTGTCTTCCTTGAGCATGAATGGCTGAATGCTGACGTGTATAACTAAAAGCACTTAGAGGCGTTGTAAAGACTGGATGAAATGCAATCCTTTTACCATTCACCTCCATTTGAAAAGGTTTTGTTCCAGGGATTTTTATCTTACATTTTGTGGGTTGCTAGATGGAATTAAGATCACAATTCAAAAGGTGTCAACTACAATTGTGGATATAAACATGGAGAGAATCAAAGCTATGATAAGAAAAGTCAGTCTTATGGCTCTTGTAGAAACGGAGTAACTTCTTGATGAACTATTCCCCATTTTTCTCTCAGCTGCAGTATTTGACATACTCCCTGTCTTCCTCTGATTTAAGCCTCTCAGAGGGGATCGTTGTTTCTCTGTCGCGGCTCCCACACTGTGGAATAATCTGCCCCTGCACATCAGACAGACCTCCACACCGTCTGCTTTTAAATCACTTCTTAAAACCCACCTTTTCTCCTTAGCGTTTTGACATCTTGTAGATTATTGCTTTTAAATTGTCTATTGTTTTTACTTGTACTTGTTTTATGGTGTGTGAGCTGAGCTGTGTGAATTGTGTATGTTTGTTTGTTTATTTGACTGTACAGCACTTTGGTCTGGAGGTTTTAAAGTGCTTTATAAATAAAGCTGTATTGTATTTGTGATGGAAACTTCTGAAGAAATGGAGAGTCAGAGACACACGGGAGAGCTGGAACTTTGATGGCAAACACTGATGGTTTATTTGGAGATTCGGCCGGAGACATGTTCTGAAGAACTCTACCCCAGACCCATGTATTTAGCTGGTTCTGAGAGAATAGTCAACATTGTGCATAACAAGATAAAGCACTATAATAACATCAGCTGACGCCAACAGGCAGGAACAGGGAGACAAAAGACTGAGAGCAGCCCAAGGTCACAGACTGATAAACTGGGTCAAAGTAATGGGCCTAGGAAAACATTTCCCCAACAGTGTTGTAATGTAACCCTCCTCTCTGTGTCTCTCAGGGAGACTCCGGGGGTCCGCTGTCCGTCACCGGCTCCAGTGGGCGGGTCTTCCTGGCCGGCGTGGTGAGTTGGGGCGACGGCTGCGCTCGCAGGAACAAACCCGGCGTCTACGCCCGGATCACCAAGTTCAGGCGCTGGATAAAGGAGAACTCAGGAGTGTAGAGGACGGGTAACTCTCAAGGACATCTATACCTGACTCAATTCGTTGTATTGGAATACGCAGTAAAAACCTGTGAAACAGACTTTCATTTTAGAGGTTTTTCTAAGTTTACAAATGTTCTTTAAATCAAGAAAGCAGTTGACCGCACTGCTTCTGCTCAGAAACAGAAAAACACTTTCCTGCAAAATGTCGTATCGTTCATGTTGGGGAGTAGGGAAATATTCTCATGTATATATTTTTGCTATAAAATACTTAATAAAATAAAAAATGTGTTTGGAGATGAAACACTTGAAATGTTTCCCCAAGCTCAGAGGTGAAATATAATTTAGTACATTAACTCCAGTACTGTACTTAAAGTTAGGGTAGGTAAGTTTCAGAAGCCGGCTCGAGTGCACTAAAATTTGAAAGTACACAGCCGAAAATAATCCGCCCCTTCCTTCAGAGCACCTCCTCCAACACACATGAACGCACAATGACGGCACGAGATACATTTGTGCGTGCAGGAGATGGAAGGCTGACAGACAGGGCGGCAATCCAATCCGTTTAGCCGGCCCTGGCTAAACGGATTGGATTGCCGCCCTGCCTGTCTGTGTCATGCCTGTCTGTTTTTTGTCTGTCGTACTTTTCACAGAACTACGGCTTCCACAGATGACATTTTTTTATGGATTCTTTGTCAAAGCACTTAAGATATTCATTGCTATCGGGATGTTAAGAGCATTCCATGGAATATAACAAGTGTATGTCGAGCCGGTTTCTGAAACTTACCTACCCCACCTTTATGTACACATTTGAGTATTTCAATGTATTGCTACTTCATACTTCTACTTCATGAGATCTCAGGGGTAAATAAGGTACTTTTTAATCCACTACATTTGTCTGACAGCTTTAATATGTTTTAAGATCACGGTTTTTCTTTCCTACTCTCATTTCTATGTAAAGATTTTGAATGTTTGTTATGAATTGTAGCTTTGTGTGTCGAGGAAACGGCGCTGTTTTCTGAGATACTCATTCAAGTGTCCTCACCAAAGACATGTGGTTGTCACAGGACAAAGCCATGATGATCTTATAGAACAAATGTGTGTTTTAAATAGAATATATAAAAGCGTCTCAGGTTTAACAGAAATGTTATTAGTAAATTAGGAAGATGTATCAGTCATCCAATCTGTATTTGGAGGATTGTAGATTTGCATATTGTGTTTCTTTGCTTATATTCTCCCAAAATAAGATTTGATTTGTTGCGCTCTTATTGGACAGCCTATTTTATTGAAATAGATAGAAGTAGATTATATGTTACCGTGTTCGTAGACATTGTGATGATTACACCAATAGCTTTAGATGATTTATCAATAATAACAGATTATCTGAATAAATAATATATATATAGCATTTTTCTGTTTGTCACCATAGTAAAAACACAAATTCAGTTGGCTACGATCCAGCAAACTGTAAACAAGAAGCACTTTGTTGTTTTGTTGTTGTGTGAAATGTTTTTTCATTGATAGCATTTCTTTGTTCTCTATGTTTGAGAACCTAAAATGTTAAGTTTTTGTTACATTTCTTGTTTTTTAAGGCTGTGTTTTGCCCTCTCTGCGGTGACACATTTTCTGCTGAATGTATTTATTATGTGAACAGACTTTCCTCCTTCATCTGTCTCTGAGGTTTGGTTGCAGGGTTATTGAAAACTTTGCAGATATGGTAATAAAATTCAAAGGATGACGCACAGTTGCAGAATGAAATACTTAATCAAATATATGTTTTTTTATTCATCTATTCATTTTTCTACGTTACGTTGGAGACTCTTATGTGATTTATTTTCTGGTTTTCGTGGCATGATGAGTTGAAGTGAATATAATCACTAATTATACAATCAGTACACATATAGAAATATTCTTCTTATTTTGATGGGTTTTAAAGGTCACCTATTATGCAAAGTCCTCTTCTTCATGTCTCTTCTTCATCAACATGTGTCCCCTCTTCTTCATGTCTCTTCTTCATCAACATGTGTCCCCTCTTCTTCATGTCTCTTCTACATCAACATGTGTCCCCTCTTCTTCATGTCTCTTCTACATCAACATGTGTCCCCTCTTCTTCATGTCTCTTCTACATCAACATGTGTCCCCTCTTCTTCATGTCTCTTCTACATCAACATGTGTCCCCTCTTCTTCATGTCTCTTCTACATCAACATGTGTCCCCTCTTCTTCATGTCTCTTCTACATCAACATGTGTCCCCTCTTCTTCATGTCTCTTCTTACATCAACATGTGTCCCCTCTTCTTCATGTCTCTTCTACATCAACATGTGTCCCCTCTTCTTCATGTCTCTTCTACATCAACATGTGTCCCCTCTTCTTCATGTCTCTTCTACATCAACATGTGTCCCCTCTTCTTCATGTCTCTTCTACATCAACATGTGTCCCTCTTCTTCATGTCTCTTCTACATCAACATGTGTCCCCTCTTCTTCATGTCTCTTCTACATCAACATGTGTCCCCTCTTCTTCATGTCTCTTCTACATCAACATGTGTCCCCTCTTCTTCATGTCTCTTCTACATCAACATGTGTCCCCTCTTCTTCATGTCTCTTCTACATCAACATGTGTCCCCTCTTCTTCATGTCTCTTCTACATCAACACGTGTCCCCTCTTCTTCATGTCTCTTCTACATCAACACGTGTCCCCTCTTCTTCATGTCTCTCTACATCAACACGTGTCCCCTCTTCTTCATGTCTCTTCTACATCAACATGTGTCCCTCTTCTTCATGTCTCCTTCTACATCAACATGTGTCCCCTCTTCTTCATGTCTCTTCTACATCAACATGTGTCCCCCTCTCTTCATGTCTCCTCTACATCAACATGTGTCCCTCTTCTTCATGTCTCTTCTTCATAACATGTGTCCCCTCTTCTCATGTTCTTCTAATCAACATGTGTCCCCTCTTCTTCATGTCTCCTTCTACATCAACATGTGTCCCCTCTTCTTCATGTCTCTTCTACATCAACATGTGTCCCCTCTTCTTCATGTCTTCCTCTTACATCAACATGTGTCCCCTTCTTCTTCATGTCTCTTCTACATTCAACATGTGTCCCCTCTTCTTCATGTCTCTTCTACATCAACATGTGTCCCTCTTCTTCAGTCTCTTCTACATCAACATGTGTCCCCTCTTCTTCATGTCTCTTCTACATCAACATGTGTCCCCTCTTCTTCATGTCTCTTCTACACCAACATGTGTCCCCTCTGTGTAAAGAGACTCTGAAAGTTTCAGGAACAAAGATTCTCTCTCTTTTTGTTCCATTTCTATAAAAACCTGTCTAAAATGAGCTGATCAGATTTTGGCCACTTTATGATGTCATAACGATGTTTTGGCTTGGTAACCATCAGCCAATCAGCAACCAAGGTAACATTTAAATATTTGTTAAAAAAAAAAAAAATGTCCAAAGAAAGTATTCAGAGTCGTTCTTATTACAGTTTTATTATTATTATTATTTAATATATATATATTCCACAAATGATCTGCTTTGACTGCAGCTTGATAAACTTCTGGATTCAGTTTGAAAGCGTCCTTTTTTTACTTTAAACATGATCTTTAATAATGTTGTAGTTTAGTTGAACTCTGAGAGGTCGACTGGCTGGACTCCTCACTGGGACTCTGGTTCTGGACCAGCTTGCAGGGTCCAGGAGTTCTTGGAGAGAAGGAGCGCTTCCTGCCGCAGGACTCGGGGGATGGGAGTTCCTGAACATGGAGAAACAGCTTCAGTTATTATGCTCCAAATATCTGGAACAAAGTCACAGAAAGAATGTGTCGGCAGCTCAGAGAGTCCTGCTGGGAACCCACACATGTTGAGGAGCCCAAAGTGTGATGATAGACATGTACAGTACGGGTCCCCAGCACATAGAAGCTGCCGGATGCTAACCTGCATATGTTGGGAGAGCTTTACAGACCAGGAGAGGAACTAAGTACATTTACTCAAGTACTGCACTTAAGTACAATGTTGAGGTACTTGTACCTTTCCTGAGTATTTCCATTTGATGCTACTGTGTATTTCTAATCCACTACAATTCAGAAGTACATGGTGTACTTTTACTCCACTACATGTATTTAATCCCTTTAGTTACTTCACAGATGTGGATTAATGATGTGAAATATAATCAAGTGTTGAATCAGACTTTAGTTCCACCTGGAGTAAATCCACCAGCTACCCTGCAGTATACAAAGTCATTCAGACTAGCTGCACCTTCACCAGCTTTGAGAACACCTTAATGATCAATTATTATAAAACATATCATATATATTATTCTGAAATGGACCAATCTGCACGATGACTACTTTTACTGTCGCTACTCTAACTATAATTTGATGAGAATACTTTTCTACTTTTACTTGAATAACATTTTGAATGCAGGACTTTTACTGTGACAGAGTATTCCTACACTCTGGTACTTCTACTTTTACTCAAGAACAAGATCTGAGTACTTCTACTTTTACTCAAGAACAAGATCTGAGTACTTCTACTTTTACTCAAGTTCAAGATCTGAGTACTTCTACTTCTACTCAAGTACAATATCTGAGTACTTCTACTTTTACTCAAGTACAAGATCTGAGTACTTCTACTTTTACTCAAGTACAAGATCTGAGTACTTCTACTTCTACTCAAGTACAAGATCTGAGTACTTCTACTTTTACTCAAGTACAAGATCTGAGTACTTCTACTTTTACTCAAGTACAAGATCTGAGTACTTCTACTTCTACTCAAGTACAAGATCTGAGTACTTCTACTTTTACTCAAGTACAAGATCTGAGTACTTCTACTTGTACTGAAGTATATGTTGATGGTAATACTGTAACAGACTGGTTATATTGTTGATGTTTTCATGTGTTTTATTCTTCAGAGTTTATTTACATTTTACAGAGTGTCAGTGAACGCGTCACTGTGTTGATAGACAGTTCTTATGAAGAGAAACAGCCAAAATGATGAAGAGAGAAACAAGAGTGTTGTTTTCCTCTGAGGACATGCTCCATCAAAGAGTCTCATATCTGGATGAATGGAGGATATTCAGTACTCACAGGTCTTCTGGATCTTGGCTCTGATCGTCTCATCATTGATCCTGTAGGGATGAACACAATCCAACAGTTATGGATCCAGTTTAAAATAAGTGTTTGTTCTTTGAGTCAGCTTCAGAGTCCTGATCTCATGCTTTACATCCCATCATATCTTCTCTGCAAACACTACGACTGACTGCCACAGCTCTCAGCTGCATGACAGGAAGTAACAGTCATTAGTCAAGGAACTAAAAACATCCCATCAAACACAGACTACCTTTTCCACTCTTCTGTCAAACCCCATATGTCTGGTGGAAAGTTGATCACTTACTAAATGTGGCTTTGCATTTCCAGCTGGCCTTCTCTAGTTGATGGAAGAATGAGAGAGCCTGCAGTCAGTGGGTAACATCACTGATCTGTTTCCCCAGTGAGAGTAACACCTCCCTGTGTTTCATACAATACTGCTGAACCAGCAGAGACCCCTTACTGACCTGAGGGTCTCCAGTCTGCAGTCTGGACTCTCCAGAAGATCTCTCAGCAGCTCCATATCTGAATCCTTCAGAACATTGAGACTCAGCTCCAGATCTCTCAGATGGATGTTGGACTTCAGAGCTGAGATCAGAGCAGAACAGCTGATCTCTGACAAACTGCAGTCCATCAGTCTGAATAAAGAAAACATGATGTCACTTTAGAAAACAAAGTTCCTGTTTGAAATAACTCCAGGTTTAATAATCTGTTCAGAGTCAAACAGGGTTTTAATGTCAGAGATGATGCAGAAACAATCCACTGATAATCTGGAACTCTAACTTTGATCAGATGTTGAACAACTCCTTCCTCTCCCTCACAGCTCCTCAGTACTGACAGCATCTCCACTGACTCCTGGAGCACAGGGTGAGTCTGTGGAAGCTCAAACTCTCTCCCTCACACATTCACCTTCTCTCTGTTACTCTGATCAATATTCAGTCATTAGCAGAAACGGAACAAATAACAATAACATTGTATTTGTTCAAATTCAGAAAATCATAAACACAAACAGATCAATATGAACTGCAGTCAGTGAACTGACCTGAGAGCCTCCAGTCTGCAGTTTGGACTCTTCAGTCCAGAACTCAGCAGCTCCACTTCTGAATCCTTCAGAGCGTTGTGAGTCAGCTCCAGCTCTCTCAGATGGGAGGGGTCAGACTTCAGAGCTGAGGCCACGACTTCACATTCAGTCTCTGAGAGTCCACATAGAGTAAGTCTATAATAAAACATATATTACAACATGTGTTCAAAAAAGAGGAAACATTATATTAACATCAAGCATTTGATGAAAAAAGATTTGGCATGTTCTGATAGACCTTTGCTGTTAGTCTATTTAATATAATAAATTATAATAGAGTGTAATGAGTTGTCAGTGTGATCTGATCTCATGTCTGTGCTCCTGCTGTCACTGACTGTTACCAAAAGAAACAGAAATTAAATGAATCACTTGACGATATTAGAGATGTACATATTTAAATGTTAGTTAATATTTGGATGTGAATGATGGATGAAGGATGTTTTGGCTTCTCTGAGCATCTGGACATTTATTGCGCACAAAAACACAATTAACAAACCAATAAAGATTCAATGTGTTCAACTTGATACCATCAGATGTTCCCAGTATATCAGCATTAAGACATAACTCTGTTGTTGGTGGAAATT